GAATGGACGCTCACACAGAGGTTCGAAGGTAGAGATTTGTCTGAAAGGTTCAATTGCTATTTAAAGAGAGTCATTGCTGACAAGCTTTTTTCAATAAGCTATCGCGTTAAAGTTCCTAATACTGAACTGAAGAGCGATTGGATCCGTGTCAGCGAGAGACAGGTTCAAAAAAGAAAAGATGTATTTAAAATTGGCAATTTTGAAGTCAAGTATGAAAGAGGCGAAACACTCACAGACAATATCGTCCTAACTGGGCACAGATCAGGCCAAAGAAGTGCTGCCAAATATTTTTTTGACTTGCGTAACATCAAAGGACTCGTTCAAGCGGACTTTTTGCAAACAAGAGGTGAAGTTAATTTTGTACCTGCACAGCCGTTTTCCCACGCAAGGCACCAGTGGTCGGACGAATCAAATTGCCGAGTGTTGTCATTCTGGGAAAAGTATTTAGCAAAGACCGAGTCCCCCATTCTTGATATGGCTGTTAACAAGGTAGGAAAATCTGGTCAAAGTTTTTTATACACAGTGCAAAGTCACAAGGAGAACACGAAAATTAACATTTCGTTTTCAAGCAGTAAACCTGTACTGAACTATCTTGGAAAAGTAGCCAGAATTATAAAGCTGAATTCAACAGCAAAAGCAAATTCTAGTCACTGGATATTACACTTGAAAGCAAATATAACCGCTTGTCCGGCGTATTACGAAATAACGGTCATCGAAAAGACAGCCAGTGCTTTGGTTCTAAAGCATGATATCCTCGCGCTCTGTCCATCAAATCATTTTCATGTTGTTGCGGTTGTTCCAAAGAAGATGTTACTTCCAGCTTACAAAGCGCGTTTGTTTATGGTTTACATTTCAAATGGGAAAAACGTTTACGAGGTCCACATTGAGAAGTTGGATGAGCTGAAAGTGGAAGGGCGATTTGACTTCAAAAGAGCCACGGAAAAGAAGTCGGTGTCAAAGAAAAACTTTGATGTACGCATGCTCTCAAAGTTTGATTCAATCATTCTTCTCACCGGTGTCTTTATAATTGGAATCATTACGCTGTTAGTGCTTGCGTGTTTGATTAGGCCAAGTAAGGAGCAAAAAGCCCGCCAAAAGGGACGTCAGCATGCCGCAGTGCAACTTGGTCAAAAGGATGATGTGAGGAAGCAGCTTGATAACGAGGACAAACTTCAATGGAGGCATCTCATTCCAATTGTCTTTCTGGTGGCGTTTCGCGTTGCTTATAGTTTTGTGCTCACTGTTAGTTTTGTTGTCATCGTTTTCAACATTGTAAACAAAAGCGATCTTGAAGATGTCAAAGACTTTAAAGAATTTGTCCAATTAAAAATCAACCAGAGCAATCAGATTTCCCTCGCTTTGGATCTATTTCGTGAGAGTGAGACTAAGATAATGACAGACAAAGCAGCCTTTATGGAATGTGCATGTGATTATCACATGGGAAGAATAATGAGGAACATGCGTGATAATATGACTGCCATGATACAGCTGCACGATTTGATAGCTTTTGACAAGGTAGGAACAACAACAATTTGAATTTTGGATTTTTGGTGGCTTGTCACTGCTAAAAGATTTCCTTCCTTACAAAATGAAATATCAGAACGTTTAATAAATGTGAATCCTAACTTTGTACTCATGTTTCAATCAAACGTACAACAGGTCTTAGGCAGCCAATCCTTGTTGAGTTAAGTGGAGATTTTTGACAATGGTATCGTAAAGAGCCCATGCTGTACCTCCTCAACTGAGTCAAGAGAGCCCATGCTATTCTGCTTCAAAGTCTGAGCAACAATTCGAAATAACGTTTTTACTTCCCAAAAGAGCCATTTATATTGAGACAGCTTTTAACAGTGATGCTTGTGATCCGTTAGCCTTTTTTAGCAGTTTGGATCCCCACAATGATTAACAAGTTCCGGTTTGAAAATTATGAGTTGTGAAAATGGCCCAAAATTGGCACATTCTGCAAAACATAACTTTATATTAGTGCATAAAGCCTAGTCCTGTGTAGATTGATACCTCTAGTCTGCTTTCGATCCTACCATTCTACTGTCAATTTTTGAATAAGTTTGTTCAGTAATTCTTTGTCAAAATGTGCAATTTTAAATCTTCCTTCAAGGCTGCAAGTCAGTACGCCAATACATAAATTTTTGTTATCCAATCGTTGGTCGTTGAAAAAATGCGATAATTTTCATGTGTCTTTGCAGCTTAGACGTCATCATTTAAGCTGCTTGTCCAGAAAATTATTTCATGTTTGGGACACCATATTTCTTGAGAACAACTTGATTTTATATATTTGTTTCGACTAGCTCCGGCGAGAAAGATGGTGTCCTGCAAGTTGGTATACAGGGCCGCCGAGAGCCACTCCGGGCAACAAGGATAGGCCAAATGCTTGGGCCCCTTCCTACCCAAAGCAATAAACTTGAAATACTTTTAACATGGATGTAAAAGGCAAAAAAACATTACTTACTTTAATTAATTATTATTAGTAAAGCATTCTTATAAAGAGACATATTTTGAGTAGTGTCAGTTTGATTACCAGCGGACCCCTCTTTGCTTAACAAAATAAGCTTGTCAAAATCTAGATTTTAGTCTGCTTAAAATTCTAATCTTCCTTTCTTCATTGCAGATCAGCGAAGCACTGATGAGAGTTGTGCTGAAAAGAGTTGCTGTTTTGTCAGCTATTAATGGCAAGATGTACCGTTATAAGGGAAGGATCGCCAGGACATTATATCACATTGAGAGCAGACTAAACGGTTACGCTTATAGGATTTATAGGAATAAGTATTTTACGATGGCCCGGGGCTTATGGGGGGCATGGCAGGACTTCAGATCACTTGATTTTCTCAGTTCTATAGGATCTTTTGATTCTACAAGATATTATCAGATTAAACGTGAGATTGCTTGGCAACTGGGGAAGTTGAAAAACATGTTTAAATTTGATTCGATCGTGAAAAGGTTGTTGAAGCCTCTCTACCCTATTGCTAATGCATTGCTGGCACCCTTGCGAAACATGAAGAGAAAAGTGAAGGAGGCAGTTTATCATAGAATCAATAGCATTAAAGACAAAATCCTTAGAAACATTCCATGTATAGGCAATATTGATATGAAGAAATGGGAGCGGTATGATGATGATGATTACGACGAGGAGGCCAGGAAGAGGTGTCGTATACAAGCAGCTAATAAATTCATGGAGAAAATTATTGACAATATAAAGTCAGCAAAGAATAGTTCGGGTCAATTTGTTGTCAGTTCTGTCAGAGATGATGCTTCATTCAACATCCTAGAGGGAGACGCGTACGAAGAAGCTCACGAGAATAGACAAGAAAAACGACTAGCAACTTTTAAAAAGCTTGCAGATTATTACAAAGGAAGCGAAGAGGCTAAGGTAGCATTAAGGCTGCTGAAGTCACATTCGGTCATTTTAGTTTTAATTTTTGACGTATTGCTCATCACATACCGAAGCCTTAAAACATACCGATTTGCTTTTATGATGGCATCAGGGTATGAAAAGAAGGTGGAGTATAAACGCATTGGGGAGAAACTCAGAGGCGACGAAATCAAGAAAGAGAGATCAGCTGGAAGGAAAATGGTCGACTGCGTGGCAAAATTCATCTCACTTTTCTTCAGTACTTTTACATTAATGCTGAAACTGATTTTCACGACAATTCTCATACCAGTTTTGGTGATAATTATAGCAATAATAGTTTCATTTTACCTGACAATAGCATTTGCCTATAATGGAATGAATGTAGATGCGTTGGAGAAACTTGGTGCATTCAAATTTCTATCCAGTCGCTTGGATCTGAACTTTAACGTGACAAGAGAAGCGTTGAAAGAGCACGCTTTGTATCTCAACAAATTCGACGTAGGCATGTACAAAGAATCTATTCGCGTGCAGACTGAAGAATTTCGTAACACTGTCAAGGAATTCAACGCAGATGAAATTATACGCGTGCAGCGTTTGCACGCAGAACTTTGTGATACTGAAGATAGACAAGCGTGTAACATAGACTTCAAAAGACTGATGGAGAAGCTTGAGATGAATGTCAAACCGTGCGTTTTTCCGGTAATAAAGGCGCGAATGCCGGACAACATTTACGACAGTGAGGCTTATCGAAAACAACTGAAGCATGAATTGAAACATTATGTTGATTCTGCTCGAAAGATTTGCATCAACACTCTTTATATAATTGCTGGCATTGTTGGAACTATACTTTTAACGGTAGTTGGGTCAAAGCTGATTTTCAAATTCTTAATGAAACTGGGTATGATAAGAGTAAAGGAAAGACATATTTACCACGAACTACCTATAACGTTAAGAAAACGATACAAAGATGGCCTATAACAATAAGAGCTGTAAAAAAAGAACTCTACTTGCACCTCTTCACAAACTGCGCTGCATAAAAGAGTCTGGATTGTAAAAGATTTTACATTCCTCATTTTCAGTGATGCTTAAAATCTCATAATTGCTTTATTTATTTGTTTGAACATGCCTCCTCGATGAAATTGATTCCAAAATTTTTTGTACCATAACAAAATTTGAAGATGTAAAAAGTTTTACAAAAGAATCAGTTGGAGAGTCGGTTTGTTGTAATTTTCATAATTTATGCACAGTTGCTGTGCATGTAGGCAATTTTTTGTAAAAATTACGAAGAAAAGTCATTGGCATAAAAAATATGGTATGGTTGTGAGAGTGTGGAACATGTTGATTCAGAAAAAGTGAGACCATATTTGAACGGAATGTATACTGACGTAATGTCGATGCTTAAAAAGCTTATATCAGAGATATATCAATTAATGTACTATTTGATGCTGAATTTCAAATATCCTTGGTCAACAAGAAAAGATGAGCAAACAAGAAAAGATAAGCAAAACAAGAAAAGATGAGCATAGAAACTATTATTCCATTTATCTTAGTGCAGACAATAAACCATTGAGAAAGACAATTATTCAGTGGCATCAGTTGGAATTGAAGTCTTAATCGCCACCTTCAAATTTATTTATTTACAGTAGGCTAGAAAGCAGATGCAGCTAATTCAAAACTAATTAAGGCCTACTATTTATATTTTATTTGAATCATAATTGATCAAAAATATAACTATAAAATTGAAATTTTTGTATACGAGATTGCAAGATACTTAAACCTAGTTAACGGCATCATCTTCATTCTGTGAACATTACCGAACCAAACAGCCGAAATAAAATATTCCTTAGCAAATTTCCTTGAAACATTCATGAACAAACGCTTTGTTCAACAAATAATCCATCCAGATGTCCAGTTAACACATCATCGTTGTCTACTTGCATAGAATCAATTTGAATAGCGTTGCTAGAAACCTATACGTATGCCGTATACCTTAAATGTGTTGTCTTCAGTAACAATAAACAGTCAGTAACAATAAACAGAAATTATGATTTTATTTTCTGACTGTAAAATGCTTTATGTACTGGTGGATTATGCAGCAAAACGAAGATCTGAACAAATTTTGGTTTTCACATCTATCTTTATAAGGAGGAGATGCCTAATCTTGCATAATCACAGTGAGTTTGTTTCCTCGCCAATCATTCCAATCATGGCAGAAGTTGGAAGATAGCGATTGGTCAAAAACATGGCAATCAAACATCACTATCATATTGTCATATTTTTTATTTGACACTGAATATTTAGGCATACTTTTGGTCCTCATCCAGGATTTAATACTCTGATAAATGAAAGCTAGATGAAAATGACTTAAAAGAATGCATCTTCGCATTTCCTTGTGCAGTGCATCAAATTCCATTGGTGTTTGGCAACGAGTAAGCAAATGGTAAATGATTATCATACGCTGAACATTGCAGGCCAATTCCTTCTTATTTAAATCTTGCAACATTTTTGTAGACGCAGAGAATTCGCTTATATTCATCTTTTTTGGAAACTGAACGAGAAAAACGTAGCGAATTAGCAACCTGGTGTGCTCAAATGGCTGAATGGCTTTCAAGATGTATCTACCACTTCTACAAGAGATTGAATTTTCATAACGAATTGCTCTCCTTAAAATCATGTCTGGTAATTAGCAACCAGATAGCACTGCTTTGCGGTGAGCCTTCTTTGCAGTTTTCTTGAGTAGCGCTCTGTTAAAACTCTGCGATTTCGAAACAGACAAATCCCTGAAGATCGAGTCATACAGCTCTACATGAATAATTCATCCTCGCAAATCCTGTTTTTTTCGTGCGACTAAATCAAATTACAGCAAATCTAAAGATTCTGTTGTAAACTTTACTAGGATTTTACTAGAAAATGCTTGCATCCCTGGTTGGCACCTTCCTCTTCATTCTAGCAAATTTGCAGGTGTTGAGGCTGGCCTAAAATTGGCAGCAACAAATGTTCGTTTGTCGGAATTCTTTTGTGTGGAGAGCTCATCGGTAAAAAAGCATGAAGAGAGTGTTTGCCAACTGCTGTAAAGAAGAAAAGATCTTATGGAATGAATAATTGCGAGGCGCAACTGTTAGCAATTCGAAATCTGCTCTTCAGAAGAAGACTTGTTCTATTCTACTTCGAATTCTGTTGCGTTGATTTTAGTTGATTACCGTAACGGTTGTCGCACTCGGTGTAGTTGCGTAAACAAACCAATAAAGGCCATTCAACGCTGGTGTTGTTTGTTGAATAAGACCGGTGCCTCTCTGTAGAGACTATACTACAAACGAAGAACTCCAATTACATCAACAGACGGTTGCAAGCAGATTCTACGTAAAAAAATTATCAAGGCCAAGCATCTTTATACTCGACAAAGTAAGTGCATTTTATGTGCTTTTTGTAAGTAGCCATGTTTACATTTTTCAGATTAATTTCACTCATTTTCGGCAGTGCAAAACAGTCAGGAATAAGAGCGGTCGACCTCAAAATAGTTTGACAGATTAGCAATTGTTTTACGAAAGGGTTATCCTGGTTTTACCTTAGTATAAAGAGACTCTAGACAGCTACCGAAAGAGCGATAGGCATGGCACTGTATGAGTTTCACAGATAAATACTAGCATAAAGCGAGCACACACAGATGCCGGGTATTAATACTTGCTCTGCCAGTGAATGGATTGATTGCCAATTCATAAGAATACAGGAGTTTTGAATTCAGAGGAATCGGTATGTTGGTTTCTGAAACTCTTTTTGAAAGAGAGCCTTAATGAGTGTATTGTTAAAATCGCTTCATGCCTTTTGAAAGTCTTTGCTTTTTAAACTTTTCATGTAGAACCGCACGAAACTTTTGAATGTATTGACAATTACATCATATTGTCAGTAGCCAAAATACTGCACGTAAGTTTTCTGTCCTGAAAGTGGATAAACATTGATGCTTCTAGCAAGATGGCAAAAATCTATCTATCTATCCGAAATCAGTGGTGAAGAATTAGGTGTTTATATAGTTCATAGTCAAAGTTCTAAGCATGAGTCTTGTCTAAGCGAATCATACATAAAACTGATCTTTCATATCAGAACTCTTTATGAACTATATACAACAAGCCTATCATATCGTGCGGCATTTTAAATTTTACCGTAAGATTTTTACATAGATTAAAATTTACTAGTCGAAATATCTTTGCGGTTTGGTTGAAATAAAAGCTTCTGCATATGAGGTATGTAATCTATTTCCAATAATTCTAAGACTATTCTCTGTATTTTTCTGGCAGTATTGAATGATCCTTTTGCGCTAGCAACTAGCCAAACAATAATAAATTAGGTAACATCAGATGTTTTTATATTCAATCTGAAATGAACAGATTTGTTGGCATAAATTTGTTCTGTCAAGCTTATTTAAACTGAATACGCCATTGAATTGAACCTTGATTATTACTAAATTTTCTATGTTAAATTATTGGTTCCAAAGCGCGAAACATAAAAAATCCAACACTTAAAGCATTTAGATTTAATTGATAAATGATCGATTGTCAGATTACACGATGCCATTGCGAATAGTTTTGGTAACTAATGATTTTGAGTAATAATATAATTGATTCCACCTGCATTTTATGTTGATGATTACTTCAAGTGATTACGGCAGCTGCAAGCAAAGGCAACTATTTAGATGATCTTATAGCAGGCTTTCTGACGTTCGTTTTATACTCTGAAGAGTGTCAGACGAAAAGCTTAAGTCGTGTTGTAAGATTCTTGCATTTTCCAAAGCCATTATCAAAGAAGGTTTTGTTGATTTGGTTTTGTTAGTTTAATTCCAATGAAATTTAGCTTAATTTTGGTGAATTTTGCTGCAACAACCGATCGTCGCGGTGCGAGGATGGCTCAGGGGTTAGGGTGTTAAAAGTGAGGGGAGTCGTTAGTGGTCAAATTGAGCGGATGGACAAGGACATTGCTCGATAAGCATAGCTCCACAGTGTCTTAAGCAAAGCATCGCTTGCAAACCGAAAACAGCTTTGTTTTCCTGCTTTTGTCTCAAATTTGCCATTATTTTTCTTTTATCGTCATAGATGAATCTCTTGATAGATCACTGATAAACCAACTTAAACCGTCTTTTTTAGGGAAACATTTTGACAAACATATAGCTGAAAGGAAAACATCTTTTGTCTGAGCAAAATTTGTTGCTATTTTAAATTATATTGCTTTGAAAGGAAAACTGCTAAACAATTTTATCTTTATATTCGGTGAAGTCATATCTTTGTCTGAGTGTTGGGATTCTGCTGATTAAATTTGGTTCCAAGTTGCCATAAATACCATCTTAGCATAGTTATACCATTAGTAAAGAATCCAGACAGAATTGTTCCAGGTGGTTTCTGTGACTTTAGCATAATGTATTTAATGAAATTCTTTCGTCGAAATCCCATCTTTCCTTGATCTGAGGTGCACCCCAAAGTTTAGTGTAGCAGACATTTCTAATTTCATTACTTTATGTCATCTCGATTCGTGGCTGCTTGGTTTCATCACTTACTGAAAATTTTAGAGGCTGGAATTAATAGCTTATACGAGGAATGAAAAATTGATATTTTGCACAGCTAGTTTTCTAGATTTTATGGGTGTATGCTGACTTCTATTTAAAACTTGTTTCTTGGTTTTGTAGGTCTATTAAAACGCCTAGCAAAGATGGACAAGATTGTTTCCATGGGAAAGCAGAAAGTGACGGAGCAAGGAGCCAAGCTTGTTGCCATGGCTAACGACAAGAACTCTCCAATTGGAAAAGGTAAAGAAGCTATTGTCAAGGGTGGCAAGCAAATTGTAACAGCTGCTGTCAAAGGTGCATTGAAGTAGAAATGACAGTTACACAAAGATCGATACTGTAAAATAGAAATACATTTGGCATTCGCTTATATTAACGCTTACGCTTATAAGCATAGCATGTATCTGTAGAAATTAATCTTCCACATAATTCATTCACGTTACAAGATTGATTCCATGTAAATAATCCATAGACAAAAATATGCATCGTTCTTTTTTTCCAAAATTGCTGCTGAACCACTCATTTTGAGAGTCCAAAGGGGGAAAATAAAATATGCATCTCTGCAGAACGTGTTAATTCAATTTAGCCTTCTCCCAGTTGTAAGGTATTTTAGCTATGATTATAACGAAGCATGGTTTTTTCCATCCCCTGTCCTTCCCTGCTTTGCAAGGCAACGGAGGTAGACTGATACAAATGTGAGTGCGCTTTAGATGACACGGTTACAGGTACTGTAAAAATCCGCGTGTAAGAGCCTAGGGATTTTTAAAACCTTCTGGCAGGAATTTGCTTTTCTAATACTCCAAAAAAATGAACTTGTTAGCCAAACCATTTCCAACAGGCACTTATATGTGGGGTTTCACCATTTAAATTATATACTTTCTTCCAAAAGCCAAAAAGGTGGCAAAAAATTGAATTTTCAAAATATAACTCAAAATGCATCATGAAACACTTATTGTTACTATTTTATACACAGTATTGTTTCATTGATCAATTTTTGGTGGAATTTTGGCAACATTGGTACAATGATAAATATTTAGAATGAAGAACTGACCAGATTTGATACTTTTCTTTGATAATCAATAACAAAATCTACTCTGAAGAAATTAAGAACCCATTAAGAACCTATTTAGCCTAAACTGTCAATAAGTACCCCATAATACAAAAGCCTGTTTTGCCAAACTCTGATAAAGGAGGCTCTTACACGCGGATTCTTACTGTATCACAGCCCGATTATTTCCTCGCAACACTGAGAGTCTGCATCCCCCTTCCATTTATTGTCATCCAAGTCAACGAATTGTATATCTCGATGTCATTCATTACATTCCACTTAGACACAAATTTCCAAAAAGCACATTCTTTGATATTTTTTAAAGCAGTAGAGAAGCTTTCTTTTGGAAAAGTTAGTTTACCGAGTAACAAAAGAACCAATTTTAATGCATCTAACTGGATTTCCTAACTGCAAGTCAAGATTTAAGTTCTCGTATAGGTCCCAACTTAAAGGTGTACACAGGTTCTTCGTCGGAGGGGATTGGTTGGGGTAACACAGTCAGTAACAAATTAAAAAAATGCGGACCAAATTCTTGAACTTATTTAACTAACTAACTAACTAACTAACTAACTAACTAAATAACTAACTAGCTAACTAACTAACTAACTAACTAACTAACTAACTAACTAACTAACTAACTAACTAACTAACTAACTTAGCGATTTCCTCAAACAACAGTTCAAATCGATTTGCCTCTTACCGTTATGCGTGTATTTGACCCTCGGAGCTGGTTTTCTGTTTATATCTTTGATATGACGGAGCTTTGACATGATAAAGGGAGGGGAATCTGTACATTCTTAACATTCAGTAAAATTTTTCTCTTTTTTACAAACTAGTTAAATTATAATGCATACATAATACATAGTTATACGCCAAAAGAAACTACTTTACTATTAAAGTACACAATAAATGCATGCTGCCATAAGCAAGTTTTTGATATATAGAAAAAGTCCAGCCACTAATGAAAAATTATTGGAACAAGGGTAGTCTAGGGTAACTAGCGCAGGTTTCATATTCCTCTTCAGTTTGTTCTTGTCTTAGGGTTCGAAATGAGCGCTTTAAACATCATTTTCTCAAAGTTTTCTTATAGTCTTTTGACTCTTTAATCACTACTCTTAGGTCCCGAATAAGCAGGGGTCCTAATAAGCGGGGGAAGGGTTGGAAAATTTTTTTGAAATCCAATAAGTAGGGGGTCAAAATAAACGGGGGGATGGAAATTTTGTGTAATATATCCGAACGCAATAGAGCACGGGCTGCACTGCTCTCAAAGATCTGCTCAGGCTACTAATCTAGAAACTGTTGAGAATGGAAGATGCTCATTTCTGATCTGAGTAAACTCAGCCTCAGTTGTTCAACCTTTTTGAAAGGCTCTCCTATTAAAATTGAAAATTTAATTAGCAGAGGGAAGGAAGGTCCTTATAAGAGCGGGGGTCAGAAATTTCTTCGAAAAAAATAAGCGGGGGATACTCATTCGGGACCTAAGAGAACTTGATTTTGTAGAGGAATAATCTAAAGTATGAGTTTACACATCGCCCTTTACATTCCGATTACGATTCCTTGGTACTACAAGTTTTATATCTCAACTTGCATGTCTAGTATCACATTCTGCTTCATAGATTTACTCTGAAATTTTCATAACGAACTTGCAAATTGCGTGTCCTTACTCTCCCTTCGGGTGGGTCCCACTCCCACGAGCATCTGGCCCTTAGTTCTCAAGAATCTCGTATTGCTTCGGCTGCGAAGGAGTATTAAGTTGCAAACGTAAAGATGATTGCTGCTCATGCGCAATGTCGATTGCTGCGATCACCTCTTTGCAGAGTTTTGAAATGGGCAGGCCGAAAATTTGAAAATAGCTGGGTGTTTGACGATTGTTTGGCACAGTACTTGTCCACATAATACATAGAAGGGAGGTTTTAACCAAAAGGTTTGTTAAGTTCGAATATCTGTATCGTGTGGACACTTTTTTTGTGATTATATTTGCATTGATTAGCTTCGTGCTGGCACATGACCATCTCAAATGATAGCTTAGGCCTGTTGTTTCATGTTGGTAGTCTTTGATTTGCCAGGGATTCTTATATAGAAATAACAGCCATTTCAGTTATGAGTGTAAATTAAACCTCAGATTTTTAGAAAATGCTAAAAATTATCAATTTTCACCATCTTTGTTCCTCGAAAAAGGTTGTATTACTAGTTGTAGAATGTCCGGAAGTAAAATTAGAAGCAACAGATGACGTTTATGGAAACAGCTTCAAGAGATAAGACACAAGAGAGGCAATATAGTTAGAAAAGTTATCAGAAGATATTCCCAAAATTAGTAAACATTTCACAGAATGTTTTGAAAATGGGTAAAAATGGCTCTACTTCGGAGAAACTTCATATTCAATGACTCAGGATTTTGATTTACACTCTTTTTCTTAGAACCAGTAGATTTAAATTCAGGCTGACTGTTCTTAATTTTTTCGAAATTCCGAGGCTTTGGTTTGTTCATAATTTGTTCTTAATTCAATAGGGTGTAAGCAGTGCGAGTGCTAACTTTTTCACTCTAGGGCCAGATTGGAATTTTTGCCTTGTGCTGGGGATAAATCCCCTGCCCACATCAAGTATCAGCCATTATTGCAGCAGCGCAATTTCTATTAAAGTGATTCATCCAGCTACACAGGATTCTTCTTTAACTGTAAAACGTATCGTGTATATATGTACTAACATTTGACATTTTTAATGAAATTTGAACTTGAATACCCTCAGAGTTGCAGATCATCTGGGACGTCATTACTTTTTGCTTGTGTACACATGAGGCTGGTTTTTGTACACACATATGCCAAATAAAAGCAAACATGTGAAGGGTAATTTTATCATTTCTGGGAGTAAAACACACGTGGGACAGGATGATCAAATTTATTACCATGCACAAAGTTTTCAAAGTTTGAGCAGATTTTGGTTTATGGAAACTATTCCCATCTGGTTTGGTCCCCCTCGTTCTTGTTTTTAGGAATTATGAAAAATGTTTATTGTTTGCTATATTGTTTTTATCACCACTAATGATGTTACTAATGTTTTTCTTTGAAATGTAAAACCTAATACCTGAAAGTTGCATACTGTGTTTTTATGGTAATTAGTCTCAGCTACACAAAATCTTTAGCTGTGCTATTTGCAAATGGGCATTTTTCATGGACATGAAACAGATCCTCTGTGCATCTTTCTCTTTCAAAGATTCCAATCTGGCTCTAGGGTGGTAGTCAGGCCTCATATGCCAACAAAGTGAATGAGACAACCTTCATTTGCTGACAGGTTTGAATATTCACTGAAAAACACTCACACATGGCTAAAAATCTTTGATTTTGAGAAAAATCATTGTAGAAGCTCAGCCTCAGCTTGTTCTTAATTTGTTCTTAACCTTTGACCAATTTTGAGGCTCGTGTTCTTTTAAAATTGTTCTTATAAAGAAGAGTGTATTTTCTGCATTTCCAAATCTTGCTCAGCCACCATTTCAGTTTATTTGATAGGTCACAATAATTGTCTAGCATATTTACAGATTAATAACACTGATAACACCATTTTATTTTTCTCAATTGAAATCAGGATGTTTGGGGTTGTGAAATATTTAAAATTGGACAAATTTTAGCAAAAGGTTTCCTCCTTATATTTTTATCTGCAATTTTATAAGTTGTATCAAGAAACATACACAAAATATTCATCTTTAATTGTTGCATATGAATTTGTATTTGGAAGTGCTTCAACTAAAAACTGGAGAATTTACATCTTCACTTGTTGGCTTTTTGAAATTATCTTCTAAAATGAGAAAGTTCACAATGGGAGTTTTTGGAGAGAGCATTGATTGCAGAGGGCTGTTAATTCAAGAGAGTTACCAATACAGTCATACTTCTAACTATTTAATGTATGATTGTTAAATTTTGCAAAAGCAATGACTGTTAGAAAACATAGTTCTGAAACTAGGACAGATTTATCCAAATGTAAATGTCTATAAGATAAGCATAAGAATTAATTGACAAATATGCCCTTAGTGTATTTAGAATGAAATCACTAGTTGTAATTATATCAATCTTAAGTCAATCTTACACAGGCATATTTCATCAAATTTTAGAATTTGAATCTATTTTGCTTCAGATTTTTTTAATCAAAGCCTCTTTGACACAGTGAGATTTAAATCAAAACTGTTTGGAAAACAAAGAGTCTCATTTTTTCAACAGCTAAAAAAACTGCCTGCAGTTGTGGGGAAATATTAACAAAAAGGAAAGTGTGCCATGATAGCAACCATCATCTCGTGGGGCTAATGTGCTCCTTGAAGAAATGAGCTGTAATAAATATCTGAAGATATCTGGTGAACGTATTTGAAGAGGTTGTCTCTAGCTGTGGTTTTTGTGATCAATGGAAAATGTGGCTTTTGCAATCTGTTTTTAAGTTTAGGACAGGCTGAGACCATGAACAATTTGATTTAATAGCATTAAACAGCATGTAAAGTTGGATTTTTTTTCATTTGTTTCCTGAATGTTTAAACTTGAGTGTCAAAAGACCCCTTTCTACTTGAGACTTTTTTTTGTTTGTGATATGATTTAGCAGGTATTAATTAGTTTTAATCAGTATTAGTTTTAATTAAATCAGTTTGTATAAGAGGGACCTAAGACCTAAGTTTATATTTTTTGGAAACTTTTTGAAAACATAGCTAGAGTGAAACTAAGTGGGGAATTTTATTTGTTTCGCTAGCGGGTTAAATTTTGGAACAGGACACTGCATTTGATGTGTTTAGCCTTAGATAAGATGCCTTTCAACTTTTTCTCCACTTGTTTAGTTGTATGATTTGGAAGGTGATGCTGTCTTACTCATTGAAAATGGTGAACAATTTAAAAGTTAACAAAGTTAATCATTTTAAGAAGAGCTCTCATGCAAAGAATAAATGAGCTATTAAATAGAACTGATTTCCAGCTATGTAATTTGCAATGACTTGCTCTATGCCAGTGTGAATATTATGCAGAGTGACAGACATAGAAACTAACTTTTAGGTAGTAAAGTAAGTTCATGATGCTATCATTGTTTGGTTCAATGAAAACTGATTTTAGATATTTTATTATGAGCTTTATAGTTGAATTGATGTCATGCCCTTGAAGTTTCGTGACATCCAAGTGATATTGTCTCAATGACATATTATTTAATATGACACATTGACATATTCATAAAACACATCCCCAAAGAGAACAGCCACCTCGGTCTTGCAAATCCAAAATTACTAATAAGACCTGCGATTCTGCTATCGGGCAGCATTTGCTAGAAAACCCAGATTGTGCAAAAAACTATAATGGCGACATGTTTCGGATTATTGGTAAAGCCCGATCGTCGTTCCACCTAGCAGTTTTAGAATCTATCTACATAAGCACGAAAAAACCGCTACTGTGTAGACAAAAGGAGTTCGTTTTCACCTTAGGACTCCATTGGTAACATTCTAATAGGCAAGCGGCACTGATTGGTCAACCTTTACAGTCATGTGCTAGTGTTTCTGATTGGCCTATTTCGATCCACAACTGGGTATATATATTTCTTAGCGTAGAGTTTTCGATCTATGTTCTGACGTTTTAAACTCTGAAGAGTGTCAGACGAAAAGCTTTAGTTTACTAAATGTTTGCTTTTTTCAAAGCTATTTATTATTTAATTATTTTATCATAAGGTGATTATAGTGTGATGATATTTTGCATATGCAAGTCTGAAAGAAATTGCTAGCTTTGAACGCAAAGAGTTGTTTCTTAAGTTTAATTTCAGATTTAACAATTTAGTTTTGTTTAGCTGAAGTTTAACAACTAATGATTGGATCAAGAAGTTGTTCAGAAAACCTTAAAAAAGACCTGTAAGATGTTTTGTCCTGGACTCAAGAAGTGTGATATTAAGTGCCTTATGATTAAATATATGTCAACCGGAAAATGTGTTTGGAACTTTCTTTTTAAATAATTTTGCTGTTGCCACATTTCATTTTGTTTTTAATCTCAATCTTTGTTTTTGCAAACTATCATTATATTTATGCAGAAATTGAAGGCTGTGTTTATAAAATACTGAGAATTATTGAAAAAAATAATTTTTGGCAGTTTTTCACAAGCAAGCTCTCCTAAACAATTTGTGTTTTCTTCTCTCTTTCATCTTTACAATCTCTCATATTAAAAAAACTTTAAATTATTTTCAACAGAATACAAATGAGTGCGATATTCAATAAAATGCCAGCTAATCAAAAGCTGAAAGATTTGATTCGATCTATAAGGGCTGCAAGGACAGCTGCAGATGAAAGATCTGTCATATCAAAAGAATGTGCAGTCATAAGAAGCTCGTTTAGAGATGAGGATGCAGAAGCCAGATGCAGAAATGTTGCCAAACTTCTCTATATACACATGTTGGGCTACCCAGCACATTTTGGCCAGGTCAGTTGTGGTTTTATTGAATATAACATTGAAATTGATAAGATTTGCTATAACATTGAAGACTGCTTAGTTTAAACTTTTTTAAAGAGGCATCAACACAGAAAATTGGCATTGCAAAAAGATTTTTCATTGTTCAAGTGTGTTATGTGAACAACAAAGACTATCACAAAAAGACTCAAAATTGTCTGGAATTCAGAAAGCACTGAAAAGGTCTAATTTAGGGGGGGGAAAGTTGAGGTGAGCAAGGGTACAAGTACCTTCAAGCGTAGGTCATCAGGAGGCTGATCCTGGAAGATTTGACTGGGCGCGTGTTTATCGCTATGCTTGCTGACAATTGCAAACCAATTTTGAACAAACATGGCACAGTAATGAGAAAAGAGGAAAAAACGTTTTCTATTCTGGACATGCTCTCACCAGTGAGGGTTAGCAAGTAGTATAATTCTATCATACAAACTTGAATTTGTAACTGGAAAGTGTAGCATCTTATGCCTAGTAAGCTTTAAAGAGGTTGGCTGGGAGTAGTTTGAAACATTTTTTTGACTGATTTGATTCTTTTTTGTTTAAATCAATATCTTTTGTTTAGTCTACGTGAGCAACTTGCCTTGTGCCCGAAAATCCCCAGCAACCGAGAGCTTTCATGATTTTTTTACATACACATTTGTTGATGACTTTTGGACCGTAAAATTATTAGGTTACGAAAATTCAAGCATACTAGTTTCTCTTGCTTGTTTGTCGCAACATGTATGTGATACAAAGCATGCAAAACCATTTTTCAGTATAACTTTTGTCCCCACTTCATGCGATGCAAATCTTTTGCAATTTTCAGGGGTCAAAATTTTGCGTTGGTGCTTCTTTTAAGTACCAGGTTAATATGATTATGTTATAAAAGGAAAATTAGAGCAATGTTTGAAAATGTTAAGTTGAAAATACATGTAGATTGAAATTGGTAAGTCAGAAGCACATGGTATCTAAAACTACCATAGACATTTCTAGGCAATCCCGCAGTCAGATTAAACGGGTCATTGCAAAATGTTTCTTACCTGTTCATCCTCATATTTTTAACAGTACAAGGAAAGCCTTTCATCCATTCAAAAATATTGACTTCTCACTGCCTGGAGAGTTTCATCATTTATTAGTTTAAAGGCCCAGTTAAAATCCATGTACATAAACATGAAAAGCCCTTTTATGTGGACATAAGAAATTTTAACCTTGGAATCTGTTGGTAACATTTTATTACCTCTAATGTGCACATTTCTGATTGGACTTCTTTATCTACTACTGCTAAGTCTGTTTTCTTCACAAAGAAATATTTTCATTTTGTACTCAGATCTTTTAAGAAACAAAGGTAAAGTGCCTATTTGCAGCTGATAGAGGTGCTCCCTTTTTGCCTGAATGTGCCCTCAGTGATGAAACTTATTTTACTAAGAAATTTTATCTTGTTTTAATGCTATTTAACTTTTTTCTTGTTGAGAATTTTGACAGTAGTCTGGCCATGCCATTTAAATTTCTATTTCATGCATATTGATTTGAATCAGCTAAAAAGTATTGTTCATCTGACCAGCAACTGGCACTATGTTCTTTGTTTCAGTCCTTTTAATGAATTAGTTTCATGCCCCTACTTTCTCTGTTGTAATTTTCATTGCCTCTTCCAACAGCTTGAATGTTTGAAGCTGATCGCATCCAACAAATTCACTGATAAAAGAATTGGGTACTTGGGATGCATGATGCTGTTGGATGAAAGACAAGATGTTCACCTGCTTGTCACTAACTGTTTGAAAAAGTAAGAAGTTTAATTTTTTAGGCTTGATGAAAGCCATCATTAATTTTGGGCTAGTTGTCAGTAAAAGCTGAAAGTCAAGACCTTGGCCTGGCTCTAATGCACAACATACCGGCGGACATGAATAATCCGGATAGGTATCATGTTTTGTTGGATGTCATATTCTTAGGAGAGCGTTACCTGACCCTAGGCGACCCCTGATTCGTTTATGCAGTCAAAAAGCTCCCTGACGTGTATGACAAGGATAATCGGATTATCCTGACCGGATTCTTCAGTTTCGCCCAACGTATCTTTCAGCTTGTGGTCGCCCTCATGTAAACATCTATAAGGTTAGAGTTTGGGTACGGACAACACTCAAGAGGTACGTTAATGCATTACGCCATCTGTGGACTATTTACCGTCAAGAAAGTCATTTCATAGAATAAATTAGAAGGTGCATGGAGTTTTCCTCTGCTAAAACGCATTTTGGCCAGGCAAAAAACAAAAATATTTTGACACAGACTGCGATGCAGAGACGAGAAAGCTTTAGCTTTTGCAAACTGTCGGTGAATTTTCGAAGCATCTCTTACAGGTGTTGGTAGTTTTTGTTGATGTCAACTCTTTTTTCGTCTTCTTCTTTCGCTGGTTTTAGTTCACACTGTCCCAAGGTGAGCTTCACTGATCCTTGCTCTCCACAGTTCCCTTCAACCTTTATATTTATTACAGTTCTAGCTGCTAGTTCTTTCTACAAAGCACAATAATTTTTTCAAGCAGCGATAAAAAGAACCGAAGTTTGGCATTCTGTGCACTTTTATAGTTTATTGGACAACTAATCAAAATAACTGAAATTTGCCCAAAATTAATGCTGTTAATATTTTAGATGCACTTTGACCAACCGCAATTTGTCGTTTGACTGGCGGCCTCCACGTAATCCCCGAACAATCCTAACTTTTTGAATTTTATGACTACATTTGCTACCATCTTATGTTGAATGAAACACGTTCTTGACAAATTTGAAACGCCAATGTTTTAGCAAAAAGACAGTAATCTATAAATCCCAGCTGCCATGTTTTATCATTTGCTCCCACTATGTGTCCCGTTAGTTTTGTACAATTTAAAAAGTCCACCTAACATCTAAAGTTTAGTAAGCACAAACAGTATTGCATTCATAATTATCTTTCTCGCTATTCAATCAAAGTCTTTCTTTTGCTTATTTGTACTTGATGCACAGGCAGATCACGGTTTTGTGTTCCAGAAAAGGGTTGCAAGTGACTGCTGACAAATGACATGCCCCTTCATTGCATAAACAATAGTCTCACTTCCTTGTCGAATTTCCTGTAATGTTTTTATTAGAAATGCTTAGATATTCTACAAACAATTTCTCTAAATATTTTAGCGATTTGGGACACTCTTCACAGTACATCCAAGGCCTTGCCCTTTGTACATTTGGCAGGTACGCTCTTTTACTTCAAATATTTAAACATGAAAACCCTCATTTATTTAAGCATGAAACCATATTTTTTAGCACCATATAGTTCAGAATATGTACATTTTACTGTACTTTTAGATTATTTTCTGCATGGATAGGTATCCTGTTAGGTAGGCTTTGAAAACTATAGTAATAGCCAAGTTTATACAAGGCAGTCATATCAACGTCAGATAGGTTTATCCGCTTGCCTGTAACCCTCACATCGAAATACACATAATGACCCACAAAGACATTGCATGCCATAATCTTTCATGAATTATTACTATCAAACGAAGACAGCTCAAGATTTGTTTGTTATTTAATTGTATACAGCTGATTCAAAGACGATTAAGAAACGAAGAAATTTGTCTGCAAAAATCACAGCATTTCGCCACATAGTTGTCAAACTTAGCATCTTTTTGTGCAGGAATTTTTGTTTGCACAATAAACTTTTAAATTGATTCAAATTTATGATTAATAATTTAGATGCGTATTGAATGTTATCAATAAGTGATAAATAAATTGTGATTTAGATTTAAATTAAACCAGATTGTACGTCTGAGTTTCTTTCCCCAAAAGTGTATCATTTTTTAAAATCATTTTTTTTCGTTTCATATCATCGTATTATACATCAATCATAATTTTATTTTTTCCAGCATCTGCTCGGCTGAAATGAGTAGAGATCTTGCTGGGGAAATCGAGAAACTTTTGAAAGGTGCTAACGCACATGTCAAGAAAAAGGTTGGTTTTTCACCAGTTATTTCTTTGCCGCCCTTATCTTAGGTCTGTATTTGCTAATATGTGAAAGGTGTCTTTTTATCTACCAACTTTAACGATTTTTGTGCAATTTTGGCATAATTTTGGCGTGTTTCCTGCCAAAATACCCATCACGTTTTACCGAAGTACTGCAGCTTCTGCACCCACCAAAACACTAGGCCTCACACAGAGCCCCACCAAAACTCTAGGCCTCACACAGAACCAAACAGCCCATTAAATAATCATCTTGAATGCTGATACTCTTTGCTACCTTGCACATTGAATGTCTCTATTCACGATGACTGAAGGTAGCCAGGGCAGTTTTCTAACTTAGACATAAAGTACACTTTATTATGGGGTTTTCAATGTCTTCTTGGCTAATGATTATTGCTATAACGTTCTTGTTTTTATCACATATGTCTCCAATGTTTTCAATGTCTTCTTGGCTAATGATTATTGCTATAACGTTCTTGTTTTTATCACATATGCGAAGCCACGATCACGGGGCGTGAACAAAAAGGTAGCTCCGAGCCTCTTTCTTTCCTTTGCTTTAATCATTAGACAATCCAGTTTTTTCGGAGGGGGGAGGAGGGGATATTCCACGGAAAAATCGTTTAAAGATCGATATCCAGTAAAGGATATTTTTCTGCCTGGGGAAGACATGATGTGGTACTCTATTAACCAAAACTTAGAAACCAACACTGTAGAAGTCTTTATATTTAAAATCATGATATATCCTATAATTAGCTTTAGGGTGTGAGCTTTGTAAAACAATGAAAAAACCACATGATGTGTAACACATTGCGTCTCAAAATGTTACACATTTGCACGAGGTACCAAAACGCATATTACACCGGCATTATCGGGCAAGGTTTTCAGAAAACAAAGTTTTCTTGCTGTGATAAAAGAATCTGCATTGTGAGTATTTAAGTGGCTTTTCTTATTAAGTGGTCAATTTTCCGTCCTCTATATTTCAAGTTTTTTTAATACTCGCCCTGCCCTTTATGTAACATGTTAGCCAAGAGTATTACATATCATGTCTTTATAATAGACTTCATTTCCTTTGCCAAACTTCCGTACATAACTAGTTTCTTCATTGATGTGTCCTTTTCAATCAGGCTTGTCTTTGTGCCACTCGTATCGTGAGGAAGGTTCCAGAGCTAATGGAAATGTTTATACCATTAACAAGGAACCTTATCAGCGATAACAATCATGGTATGTACTCTAAATTTTTCTCTTGTCTTGAAATATTCGTTTATTTCCGTCTTTTTTTATTTGTCTAACTATTCTTCGTAGCCGTTGACTTTTCTTTAGACAGATGTGTTTTCTTCAACTTTTAAGACATGAGCGTGACCTAAGTGTTCGTAAAGTTCTGATAACATTTGTCAGGAGAATCATTTTTTTTTATTTTTCCATTACCTAAATCTTTAGATTTAAGCCATTTAAATTTAAAAGCAATAAAATTAAGCCAATGAAATTATTTTGGTTTTAAATTGCTTTGGAAATGAATAATAAAATGATGATGACCTAGCAAGGCCAAGGATTCACACTTTTGACCAACGAAAAAAGAATTCTCACGATGAAGAGTTATCCTCGAAACGTCACACCCATATTTAACTTCTATTTCACAGTCGTACTTTAACTATGTCAATTTGTATTTATTATTCATGCCACGTACAAAACGCTGAAGTTCATTGAATTGATTTGAAAATCACTGTACTAAATTTTGGTTCTGTTATTATGTTCTCAGTTAGTTTGGTTTTTCGCTTAGAAAATATCGGAAGTTTCCGGAGAATGGGTAGAATGACCTGGCCTGCCATAGTCATTAGAAACCTTCTACTTACGTATTTCTGTAAAACAAAACTTGCTGTTTGATATGAACGCTCTGCTTTGGTCGATAGTTTCCAGTCGAATACTCGAAAGACTCTTTTAATTGCCCGGCAGTTCTGAAAACTTTTCTACCTTGCCTGGTTTTTTTATTGCTTAACCTTTGGCGCTTTTTCAAGAGAATCTGCTTCAATTGATCGGCAGTAATTCTTTGTTTAAATTCTTCCAGGTGTTCAACTCACTGGTTTAGTATTGATATCAGAAATGTGCAACATGAACCAAGATGTCATTCCACATTTTCGACGCGTAAGTTTTAAAATACTTCATACTTCGTAATATTAACTTTTTTTCAATTCATCTGTATTCTTTTGTATCTGCAATTATTTTGTTGAACTTTTGAAGAGTTCGTCAAAGGAACAGCATTGGCCGTTGCTTATTTTATTAAAGTCACAAATTGACCATATGGTAGCAATTGTTCCTAACCCCTTCAAAGCATCCAGTATTAATCGTAAGTTACAACGCAGCTCTGATATAAAACATTGTAAGCATTGATTTATTATCTTCACGGTGTCCATTATATCGTAATTAAACTCTTTTTGTACCATGTTGTTAGTATTATTGTCATCTATGCATTTTGAAATAGGGACAGACTCTGGCAAGCGAATGTTCAATCAGCTTCCCTGATTTTCAGTGAGCTTTCGAAGGACATTCAGGAAGAAGAATCCTGAATGCGTTTTAAGTACAAACTAAGCCTTAAAAGTTTGGAGCAGTTTTAACTTAAATGTAATTTTTAATTTCTTATTTTATCCTTTTTTGTTCAATAGGTCCTTGGTTGACAATAGAATATCATCCTGAACAAGCTTTTAATTTTTCCCCCTTTTTCCCAAGTTGCGTTCCCCTTTTCTAAGTTCAACCAAAGGGATAACTGTGCCATCTGCTCGTCGTATCATATGACATGTATTGATTATTTCTTGATAATTAACCCAGACACCCTCTTTTTCTCTAGTTGGCGCCAAACCTAATTCGGACCTTAAAGAACATGATCCAGTCGGGCTATTCACCAGAACATGACGTTGCAGGAATCAGTGACCCCTTTCTTCAGGTTGGTAAACTTTGCTTGATTACCGTAAATCGCCTCCCCTCCCCCTCGAAAAAGCCCCTACCCTCGAATAAGCCCCCACTGATTTGTTGATTGTTGCCATCTGAGGTTGTTTTCGGTGTTTTATTGAATTACCACAAAAATTCATACTTTTGGTAATAATTAATCAAATGTTTATAAAGAAATTCCTACTGAAACTTACGAGGTCATTTAATAATGTCTTCTTGATGTCTGCTAAGATTTTATAAGGCCCCCTCGTACACGCCCCCCTCCCTAGAATAACCCCCCATCCAAAGATTTAAAGAATAAATAAGCCTTCGAAGTTCTGGATAGGTCCCACCAAGTAGCAAGGCCGCTTATAAACACTTACGTTCAAAAAGTATTGGGACACCTTCGACAAAAGACCATGGTGTTGCGTTGAATACGCTTTTGCAACGGAAACCTATTTAGACATGAGCAGTCTTTTTTCAAATAATCTAGGCCTATATATCTCAAAAATGTGGCTAGAAGTTTAAAAAGCTTTTGAATCGTAACTATAAAAGCATTGCAGTCTTACAGTTTTCCTGTAAATAATAGCAAAATGTGCAAAAGAGTTGTATGCCCTAAAAATGGCCTTGGCAATTTTTTAGAAATGCTCAAACGTGTTCAATTTTTTAGACAGACTCAATAAAAACGTTTTGAGTGAGTGCTGTGAAGCTCTTAGCGAATAACTTTGTTGTGAAGACTTTTCGATTGCTAAAACTTCTAAAAATATATAAGAAGAGGCATTTGCCTGTTTCAACTCTCGTGCTTAACGTTATCTGATGTATAACCCACTGTTAAAGCCCGTTTCAGGCGCTGGCACGCTCGTCTTATCTAAACACTTAGCTGCTTTATATTTGATTTTATGTGGCATTGTGATAAGCATGCTCAATGCCTGCGTTCAATTTAGGCCCACTTGTTGACCACCTGCGTTTCAAAGAGCTAGTCTTTTGCCCACAAGTTAGGCAGTCCATATTAGTGTTTATCATTGGGAAGATTGATGCTGCTTTTTCTTAATTGCAGTAGTCCTGTTGGGTCTTCTGTAAAATCTAGTGCGTTAATATGCAGTAGATGCGTATATGCAGTAGATTCCTGAGTAAAGGGAAAGTTGCATTCAAGGCAAAAAATATGTTCAATGATTATCGAAAGTAAAAACTTGCTTTTATATTCCTACCATTCAAATTTATTTCTTTTTTTAACCTACTTTCCACCAGGTCAGAATCTTGAGGCTACTGCGAATTCTAGGCAGGCTAGATACGGACATCAGTGAATCTTTGAACGACATCCTGGCTCAAGTAAGTTCAAGAGAAACCTTTCTTGTTACTAAACTTTCTTAAAAAGAACTTGCGTGATTGTTGAACTGCTTCTTGCAAGCAACGGAGATTAGAGAAGAAACATGTTTGGAACCTTAAAAAGTTCTTTTTAAATGTTTGCCCTTAGTGGGTTTTTGTTTGTTAATATAATGATGTACACCTATTTTATTGAATACCTGTAGGTAGCAACTAATACAGAGAGCACAAAGAACGTAGGGAATTCAATTTTATACGAGACAGTTCTAACAATTATGGATATCAAATCTGAAAGTGGTCTGAGGGTGAGTAACAATTTAGTGGGAAATGTTCTGCTGAATTCTGGAAGTACAGTGGCACCTTATTATGACGAACTCCACTTGTTTCAAACTTCTCGCTCCAGCAAACAAAGCTTCTGTTCCCTTAGAATACTCCCTTTATATTGAACCAACGGTATAATGAACTCCAATATTACAAACATTTATTTGTCCCAATAGAATTCATAATAGTCGGGTTCCTTTTTTTTAGTTTTTTGAAACTTCTGCCCATCGGAGTAACAATTGTATTTGAGCTGAATGTCTTTGTAGTTTTAAAACAGGTTGATAGTAGAATGTTTTGCCTCACCCGCATTCTTGGTCTCTTGTCCAGTTCCTTCCCGAAACTATCGTGTTAGTCTGTTGTGGCTTGTGAGGGAGGGGGAGCAGGGGGCAGATTTCAGACCCGAGTTGAGAGGACCCCTAAGAACTTATAACAAAGTTTCTAACAATAGCAACAGCAATTACAATCCCAGTTATGCTGCCATCATGACGGGTCCCAACTTTCTTTTTGGCCCAGGACCTAGAAAAGCTCTCAGCCGGCCTGCTTGTGAGTCTGCACCCAAAAGAGCCTTTTTTATGTCCAAACGAAATATTACAATACAATCTACATTCTACTTTACTTTCTATTTACTCTACGATACTACAGTTACGATACCACGGGGAGCAAATGACAGTGACAACCCCACGGCAATTACATGCAACTAGACTAACAACCACGAACGCTACACGTATACATAATAAATGTTACAAAAAAGAAGGAAAAAGATAGAAACTAACAGATACATAATGATGCGTCTTTGAAAGAGTCTTTTATATTCATAAGATAAGTGGATGCAGGAAGGACATTTTGTGAAAACCATTCCGCTACGTCATGCTATAAATTTGCGACCATTTTCAAAGGGAGATTCTAATACCATGATTCCTGTCGCAGTTTTACTTATCTCTTACTCTCGAAGAATGCTCTAACGTTTGATTTATTCACTCCGTCGTAGTGATTATTTCATGCAAAGGGAAATTGACCCCTACTGAAAAACTGATGCTAAAATATTGTTTATCATTACCAAGACCCTTTGTTTCTATCTTGAACTCATGATATGTTTTTTGATGATATTAAACTCAAGCCCCCCTTTTATTATATCATCTGCGATTATTCTCTTAGCTGATTTATAACTTTGTAATCTCTTGTTCGTTGAAACTTTATTATTGGTATCTTCTTAACTAACTTTTTTATAAGAAAATCAACATATTTCATTTGATCTTTTTCAGGTACTTGCTGTAAATATTTTGGGACGATTTTTGCTAAATAACGATAAAAATATTAGGTAATTTTTTATCCATTTTCTACTTTTATCTTAAGTTGAAAATTCCCACTTGGCCTTTTCCGCGCCTCTGAAACATCTAAACCTTTGTTGTCAAAAAGAGAAATGATTTTTAAGACCTTTACATTAGAAATATTGATTTCTGTTTTAACTCTTCTGTTTTTTTTCTGTTCAAGTGAAAAATTATCTTTGATATTTAGTTTTATTAAAATCTTGAAATCACGTGGTAGTGTACTTAATGTTCTGTTGTAGATAGTTGTAAACAAGTGCGAGTTTACGTCATCCAAACAACTTGTGGTAGTCACATTTGTTCTGTGCAATATACAGTTAAGGTTTTTGTATAAATGTAAAGCTTTTTATGATAGTCTTTTGATAGACAAACATCTGTGTGATAAAGAGTAGCTTGGCAGCAAATTCAAAACATTGCCTCGATTATTCCTATTTGTAGGTATGTCGCTTTAAACACACTGTTGAAAACAGTTCAGTTTGATAACAGCTCAGTTCAGCGGCACAGGGGCACCGTACTGGAGTGTCTTAAGGACCCAGACATTTCAATCAGGAGGTATGTGGATATGCGTAAAGATTCTTTTCGTCTTGCAGTCAAATCAGTCTTTATCTGAATTGTCATCCAATAAACCAAACAAGGCACCTCTCTATTGCAGAGGATTTTCTTTGAAAAATTTATTAAGAAAACTTGCGTTATAACTGCTAGAAGACCAATTTTAGGCGTGGTCTTCCGAATTTAGGCCCGTTCTTCTGATTTTAGGCCCGTTCTTCTGATTTTAGGCCCGTTCTTCTGAATTTGGGCATTAGCTATCAGTAAAAACCACAAACAAGGTTTATCATCAACTGCTTAAAATATTGAGTCATTTTCTTTGCCAAACTTTTTTTACGATAGTTTAAATTTTGTTTCTTGCAAGGCTTTTTCCAAACGTGTTTCCTATTAGGTCTCTTTTAATTAGGCAAGTTGATGCAGTTATGTTTCCTTAAGCCTATTTATTGCTTGCTTTTACGAATCTGCCTAAATGGCAGTTGGTGTGGTGCCAAATGCTTGGTAACTGGATAAGTAACGATTTTTCAGGAGGGCAGTTGAACTGTGCTTTGCATTGGTGAACACAACAAATGTTAGAAGCATGGTAAAAGAACTGCTGCACTTCTTAGACCACTGTGACGTTGAATTGAAAGGATATGTCACTTCAAATCTTATAACTAAAGCGGAAAAGTAAGTTCGATTTTCGTTTTGTTAACACGTGCAGTGAACTCGTGCAGTAAGATGAGCGTTTTCTAATACCCTAAACTGATATTTTTACAGGATGACATGTAATAAATTTCTGTAACAGTCCCCTGCGTAGACCAAGGCCTTTCTTAACAGTGCATCCCTGAAAGCCTTTAAAGACAACCTTTTTCTATGAAAGTCCCTCCTTGTATACTGCTTTAACTAACTCAACTGAAGTCTTATCTTTTTTTTTGCGATTCAAATTTGATTATATAGTCTTAAGTGAATGCTTTATTGATTTATCCTCAATCACTGTATTGCTATGTTATATAGTATACCTGATGCTTAAAACCACCCTTACCCTACAACAAAGGATGCCTAGGCCCTCAAGCAAAACCGTGATCTGTAAAACATGCTGTAAACATGCTGTATGAACTATTTCTATTGCAGATTTGCTCCTAACAAACGTTGGCATATTGACACTGTTTTGAAGTTGCTAACCACGGTAAGGTTCTGTTTTTGCTTAATTTGCTAAACAGTTTTTGTTTGATTTGCTAAACAAGTATTATTACCTTCTGTGTTTTTAATCAATTTTGATTGAATGTGAAAAGGAGCAGTAGATTAGGACAAATTATGACAGCATGTAAATATTGATAGAAAAGTATTGAAAACAAGTTTAATTTTATTTGTGTTTCTATCCCTTACTAAAATAAATTTGTTGATTTACTATCATTTGTTGGTAAGGACTTTGAGAAGCTTTGTCAGTAAATAATGTGATTTTTAAATTTATATAAATTTGTTTTGAATTTTGTGACGCTTATGTATCTTTTTCACAGGCAAGTCAATATGTGAGGGATGATGCAGTTGCGAGTTTGATTCACTTGATTTCAAGCACAACAGCATTACACACATACACTGTCCAGCAGTTATTCAAGGCGCTTGAAGTCAACACTGGACAGGTAAAGATTCGATTACTAGATAAGCCTTTGGTACCAATAATTGGAAGATAGCAAGAAAAAGCAAAATCTAGCTACTTAAGTACTTCGTCTGACACTTCTCAGGGTATAAACGTCAGATAATAACTTAAAGAAAGCAGAAATTTATCAGATTCCAGAAGAAACTAGGGTTCCAAGGCTGTGGGCCGAAGGAAGGAAATCCAACGATGCTGTACTTTTGAGACAAGTCAAAGCATAAATTGAAAAGATTTATGAAGCAAAAGGAATTTAGTGCTGTGTTTCTTTTTATCCTGACAAAGCATGAAGTCAAAACTAGAGATGGTTTTGCTCGATTTTATTTCTAAGAAACTTTAATTCAAGCGATACAAAGAATATTTTGAAGAAAACAATAGGGCAAAATTTCATCTGCAGGAAGGCTGAGACCGTTTCTTCAGATGCGGTTTTTAAGAAACGTTAACTGAAGAGTGATGCGTTTGATTGGTTTCTTGTTTTCAACCAACCGACGACGGCTTAGCACTCAAGTAATCGAAGTGTGTAATGGTAATGTTGATCAATTCTTTTCAAAGGAACTGGCCTCGCTGCTTCCATAATTATTGGACGGAAGGAAGCATTGTCCCTCAAATGTGGATAATACAGGACTTCATTTTAGTGTTTAATTTGGCATTTTCCAGGATTTTCAACGATTTTTGACTGTTTTTTCATAGCAATCGCTGATTCAGGTCTCATGTTGGTGCATTGGCGAATTCGGAGAACTGCTCTTTTCTAAAGACCTTGAAGATGACGAGCCCCTTCAGGTATGATTTTTGTTTTCTTGGTGTGAGCTATCATTTCTGTATGCTGGATATCACTAGGATTTCAAGAGCTACGGTTCACGCATTCGCGGTCACGATTTTCAATCATACATACGCAGCTGATTGAAAATTTTTATTAGAGTGTAGAATTGTTATTCCTTCCGCTTCACATTTTCACGCAGCGGAATATGTCCGAAAATGCCTCAAGCAAAAACCTTAGATTGCACTGGGCCAGAGTCTGTGACGTCATAATCCAAGTCTTACATGATTCTGAACCAGGGCTATGGCTTTTAAATTCACTATGAACAAGGAAACCGAAGGAATTTGTTAACATGGATCATTTTAGGCCATTGACCCCCACTAGTAAAAAAGTCTAATTCACGCTAGAATAAATAACACTGGATATTATTACGTATTGATTTATATCATATTTATTATTATTTGTTCGCATTTAGCAATCTGTTACCACATTTCTTCTTCTCTCTGTTAAGCTCACAGAAATAGATGTTGTGCATGTACTGGAGCGGATCCTGGCGAGCTCATTCACGACCCAAGTTGCTAAAGAATTCGTTTTGACCGCGCTCATGAAACTAACAACCCGTTTTACAACCTGCACAGAGTGAGTAGGCTGTTTTCTTTGCATATGCTTGTTCACCTCATGAAATTTTTCTTCTACGGCTTGTTTCTTAAGTTAGTGATAGCTGGAAGATGGCTGAGGCCACTTTGGCTACTGATTGTAATAATGAAACCGTTGATCCTATTTGAGGTCAAAAGATTCTTTTGGGAAACGGGAGGGTTATTTTTAAATATTCTGTTAAGTTAGAGATTCGATGCTTTTGCAAATTTTTTATTGAAATGTGGCCAGCAGAGACGGGATGAGGTAATGGCTTGTATGTTGTTTTGTGTGAAATACGACAAAGAGATAGTAGTCATTAGGTTGTAGTCGAGAAAATATGGATGAAAGAAAAAATAGATGCGAGATAAACACATATGTATCACTGGATAATGGTGTTTTTTTCTCTTTAGTTAAGTAAGCTTCATTTAGCACAACTGGGAAGTTGTCTTAACATTCTTCAATCTTTTTCAGAATACTTGAGAGAATATAACCTTTTAGTTTTATTCGGTAGGAAAGCTAAGTGGTTTTTGTGCGTCATATCCATGCGACCGAACGCTACCGACTGTTATTTTCAAACCTTGCTGTTTTCAAAGCTAGAGTCTTGATCACAGGTGTTAAGACGAGCCCTAAAGCGAATACAGAATAACATTCATCTACGGTAGAACAAGTTACCCTCTACATTCCTTTGTGTTTTGAAAGCAGAAATTTTGATAGCATCTAAGGCGCTCATTTGCTGCTTTTTCAACCATTCATGTCATGTGATTCAACGCTTATCTTTGCAAAGGTCTCAGGGGCATATAAATTAAAAAATGAGACGGCACACGAAAAGGGGACATCACCTTGTATTTTAGAGACATGGACAGGGGCATTTTTCAGATGAAAGAGACACTTTTTAACGAACAATATTGGAAGCAAAATTAATCTTAGTCGTTGAAGTTCCATGCCCGGCAGTACTTTTCTTACGTGTTCTTCACTTCCTATTTTCAGCAAAATAAGACACGTGATTAATGAATACGTCACAAATGTCCACGTGGAACTGCAACAACGATCAGTGGAGTATGATACGATTTTTCGCAAGTATGACCATTTAAGGTGAGTTTCAGAAATCTTGCCATCCTAGTTTATCTTGCGATGAAATAAAAACTCTTCTGTAAGTGTCAAAAGATGGTTTACACATTTGTTCATTTACAAATTATTGTTTTGATTATTTATTCAGGCTAGCGATTCAATTATTTATCAATTGTTTTTGATTTGTTAAAACTAATCGAAAATCTACCAAGCCGTTTCTTAAATTAACTAATGAATTATACGCTAAGCTTATGTATTATTTAACTATTAATAGTGAATCAAAAACAGTATTTAGATTATGAATAATATCAAACGGCATTAAAGGTGAATTTTCTTTGAACGCTGTTTCCTAAGTTCCCAGTGAATTTTGTTTAGAAGAAGGCTTGGTTCCGAAAGCGCAGATTTATTTGATCACAAGTTTAGTCTTCTACCTTTAAACCCGCTCAATTGAGGTATAAATTTCACCATAAACTGTCTTTATACGAGGCAAGACAAGACGGCCTGTTGTTACAAAATATTGATCAAAGGAAATTTTACACATTTTAGAGCCGGTTTACTTGAGAGAATGCCCGCCATGAAAGCCAATCCGGACAGCCCAGAAGTGTTTAACAACATAACAAACGGAGAAGTTGTCACTGTGCCTGAGCCAGTAAAAAGTGAGTTGGTTCATTTGTTCGTTAATTTGACAGATAGTTAATGAAACTGACTTTCGAACTATGTCAAGGAATGCCATCAGAGCCGGGGGTAAACTATGCCAATTAATGCCAGCAGAGCCGGTGGCACTGGGACGTTCACAGCAAGAATTAATTGAGGGAACATTTCTGGCCCAAAGCAAAAACGTCATATTGCCCCTTCGAGTTTTACCGGCCTTTCTTCAGGTCAAATGGCCTTGCTCTGATATATAACGTATCGGCGTATTAAAGATGGAAGCCGATGAAGCTGTGAAATAACTGCTTTCTGTTTGGGAAAAATGAGAATTTAATTTCTTGTAACTCATATGACAGAAAATATATGTATGCCAAATTGGCACCTTTTCAGATAGGGAACTTTGACAAAAAAATACTAATGGGAGTTGATGATTTTCTTTGAATTTTCATTCTTTGAAGTTTGAAGGAACATTTTTTTGGTTTAAATTGATGGCACCGATCTTAAAAAGTTCATTAAATTCGGCTACTTCTGGTATTCGCTAACAATTCCGTTTTGCTCAGTCTAATCTGACATGCGTTTGATTGTCGATTAGCAATTAATTACTTGGTTTACTTTCTAGATTGTTTTATCTTGTAATTCCTATTTCTGTAGTTTCTTCAGAACTCTCATGCATTGTGTATTTAAAGGAACAATGCAAACAGACACCAAATCTTTGTAAGAATGATATTTTTGATCCGTGTATCAATGGACCATGGGATATCCCTGCTTTAATGTTTGTTTCCATGTAAATTACAAGGCCAATTTCCCATTCTAGGCTGGAGTTTATAGCTTACAGGTGACTGGTAAATCGGGTTGATATTGGATGATACTGCTTGGTCTAAACTCAAATTGTTGTTACCCCTATTCAGTTATTTTAAACTATAAAAAAGATTAAGCGAATAACTGAAGTATTCCTGAATGAATCTGAAAATTGGTAGCAAAATAAACTCTTGTTGACAATAGCTGATAAGAGTATTTCGATGCATTGTCAATCTTGTTTCTTGCCTAGCGATTTCAGCTGGTGTCGTTATTGTAACTAAATTATCCCAAAAAAGTGTTTCTTTGATTTTAATCGCCAAGATTAGGTTTCATTGCATCTTGAACAATATGAAATGTCTGAATCATGGTTTTTGATGTACAGTTCTTTTGCGGTTAAGTGTTGAAAATTATTTTGGAAGTCACAATAAAGATCTTCGATTTAGTTCCTTTTTGAGGTTTCGATTCCATCACGATGGATAAAAGATGAATCGTGGCTCTTTTATCACGACTTTCTTTGTTCATTCTTTTATTCTTAAACCACGCTAAGCAAACATTTTGTCATAATGATTGATCGTTTGAAGTGTATTTGGACTTTATCATTCAATGTCGAGTCTGCTTTCTTCTGCTATTCTTTGTCAAAAATCTCATATCGTTTTTCGGACGATGAAGGCGTGGTGTGCATACAGCATCTGGAGTTTATGTTTTCTAACTGACAACTCTGTCAAAAGACTCAAAACACTAACGTCGGTTTTTCACGGCCAAATTCAGCCATCCCCCTCCCCCCTTGGGAACTATTTTGGTTTTCTTTCAAACGACATAGGTGATTCGGAAGCATATTTTTTCTTGTGACTTGTAAGTTATTTGCTTAAACTATCATCGATGTTTTTTTTGGGGGGGAGGGGGTGGAAGAAGTAATATTTGCCCAAAAGAAAATGAGAAAAAATATAAAATTCGATGCCACTTGCTCAAATGATTTGCATCTGTAAAAGATCGATTAATCTTTCGATTCTTTGTATTTGGAATAAAGTAAAACTAGGATAACTTGATTGTTGGTCCTTCTCTTGTCATTTGCTTATTCGCCCTTCTCGTGTGGCTTGTTTGTTTGTGTTTCTCTCGCCCCCCCCCCCTCCTCATGTCATTAGCTTTCTTGCCCTGCTCCTGTCACTTGTGGCCCTTCTCATGTCCCTTGCTTGCCAGCCCCTTTTCATGTCTCATGCTTGTTTGTCCTTCTGGCTAATCAGACTTCTACGTCACTAGCATGAGCTTGGCATCTTTCAATCTATACCTGCTTTTCAGCTTTATCATCTAATGCAATGTCCCTTTTCTTCAGGTGTTGAGCAACCAGAAACGAAACAAGAGGTACGTTTAATGTTTTCTTATTCGTTAATCCCGGAGGTGTTTGCAAAGACAATTCAATTGATTTAATCGTCTCCCATTAATTTAATCATTTAATCCGTGCATTGGATTAAATCAGAAATATACTTTGTTGATAATTTTGACAGAACATCGCGTTTATCAACTAATGCCTGTGAACCAATCTCTATAAACCATTAAATGTTTTTGGTAGTTTCTAATTATCGCTTGAGGCTGTCTCTTCAAATATGTGACCTCAAATTTTTTAGAAAACATTCTATAAATCAACGTCGTATTCAATTCAAATACCGTATATTTTATATTGACTATATTTTAAAGGTGATAAGTATGTCAGAATAATTATGCAACTATCTTTAGGATAATTGAACATTGGATCTCAAAAGACTGCCTGCTTCTTTTACTAGAAACTTTTAACAGAACTTTGAAAGAAATGCGTTGGTTCATTGCATGATAGTTTCACGTGTGTAGTAGTCGATCTCTATTGGCTGCACGTTCACATCGTCACAATTTCCCTTTAGTCTGACTCCCTACTGGATCTTCTTGGATCAAGCGGTGACGTCCCCTTGCCAGTGTCAAGCCAGGCTCCCCAGCCTGCCCCAGTCCAAACATCAACCGGAGATGGTGTCCTGGACTTGTTAGGAGACTTAGATATGGGTGGACCTTCAGTTCTACAAAACAATCTACCCGGTAAGTAACTAATGATTCTTCACTAGGCTTTGCTACGTTACCTGGTTAAAACTGATACAATGACAGGGGCGATGAAGGGTGGTGCTTTTCAGAGAATCTTCTTATTCTAGAGAAACAGTATGACTATTTTTACTACTGTAGGTTTTTGTTTAAATAGTATTTAGGGTATTTCCTAATTTTTTCCAACCGCCTAAGCTCAGGAAACATTTCTAGCCTTCGATACCTGGTTTGTATGTGTTTCAGTCTTCACATGTTTGAAGCTTATTTTAAAGACACACGGCGATTATAAAGCCAAGCTGTTAAAAAAAAGTTCCATTGTTGGAACATCCTTGGAATGACGAGATGGCAATCAAAAGTACTCCATTTTGTTGTCATCAAACCATAAATTCCAGTGGCTTTCTATTGTCCCATAATTAATTGTTCTGTCTTTTGACAAAGAGAACAACAACACAAAAGACGAACATTAATCACAATCAAAATCTTACAACCGACGCCTGTGGGTTGTTATTTTTAGCTTGCCCAGGCCCCTGGCACAAGACATCTTTAGTATCTATTGTGTGTCTTTAAACTCCATATACCCACTTACCCTTATGATGTTTATGGCTGCTGATGAATATAACCCCACCTTCGAATAACCCCTCCCCCTCGAATAAGCCAAATTTTTTGCAAAATATGGCCTCTGGGGGCTTATTCGAGGACTAACAGGTTATTGAATTGTCGATCTCAATGCAGATCGTGAATAAATTTCAGACCCAGGGGTACATTATAAATGAGGTATAATGCCGAATTTTACTATTTACCGCTGCTTTAATGTAGATGTCACGCCAGCACCAACAATTGGACTTATGGACGGAGGATTGGGCAACGACCTGACAGATTTGCTTGGCGGGCCAGTATCATCACAACCAGTTCTGAACACCATTAGCGATGTACAGCCAGCAGCACCAGTTTCAACAATGGGTATGGGAATGACAACAACAGGAATGCCAAATATTGCCACTGTTTCGCCGCCAGGTAATTGCAGCCCTGCTTATAATTAGCAACTTATTCACTCATTCTTTCCCTCAGTCGCTCATTTGCTTATTCCGTTACTCACTAACTATATAGCTCACTCACTAACTTACTCGCCAATTTACTCACACATTCGCACACTCACCTATCCAATTCTAGTCACTCACTTGATCTCTCAATTTTAGCAACGTTGTTTTACGAATGATTTACTGAATCACTCAGTAACGCGGACCACTGACCAACGCCAATGACTGACCAACGCGAATTACCCTCTGTCTGGAAACACTGACTAACAAAAATCACTCATTGCATTTAATTTTAATTCATTTAAGGAGGGTTGCCCTCCAGCCGGAGCTGGTTTACAAGAGTCCATCTACTTAAAAACTTTAATTACAATAGAAAATTTCAAAAATTTAATTCAAATACAATATTAAAAATTTAAAATTTAAAAACCTTATACACTCACTAACGGGAATCACTAACGGAAATCACTTTCTTACCGCGAATCACTTACGGGAATCATTCTCTTAACACGAATCACTTAGTATGACAAATTTCTCACCAACGCGAAGAACTCACTAACATGAACCAACACAAATCACCCACCAACACAAATCACTCACCAACACAAATCACTCACCAACACAAATCACTCGCTATTACAAATCACTCACTATTGCAGTGCAAATCACTCACCAACACAAATCACTCACCAACACAAATCACTCACCAACACAAATCACTCGCTATTACAAATCACTCATTATTGTAGTGCAAATCACTCACCAACACAAATCACTCGCTATTACAAATCACTCATTATTGTAGTGCAAATCACTCACCAACACGAATCACTCGCTAACACAAATCACTCACTATTGCAGTGTAAATCACTCACCAACACGGATCACTCGCTAACACAAATCACTTACTAACGCGAATCACGTTCTCCATCACTAACCCTTTCACTTGATGCAATGCCAATAACTTATCATGTCATCCTTTTGCTCCATAGTCGATAATAAACTCAATATACAGCGAACTTCTTTATTGAAACAACCCATATTTGTAACAGATGTTTTTCCCATAAATTCTTGCATCCATATAGAAAGAGCATCTTGATGTCAGCTTAATATTATGTAAATCTTAGGTTTATATTATGTCAGCAATAATATAATCTACGATGCCAAAAAAGATTATAAGAAAAGCAGTAACAACTAGATAAATGCTGTTATAATTTTTAATAGCATTATTACGTAAGCCAATTGGCATAACTTTCTGCACACTGTTTAATCAGAAAGATTTGAAATATACCATGCAATCCTTGAAGCGAAAACCAATTTTGCTACAACTCGTAATCCCCTATTGTAGGTATCCCGGGCATAACAGCGTTCGCGAAGAACGGCCTTCTTATAAGATTCGACTTCGAAAAGGTTGTCGGCAATCCTAACAACATTGTCTCAGTAACGATGACCGCAACGAATTCGCAGCCATCTCCGATGACTGATTTCGTGTTTCAAGCAGCTGTGCCAAAGGTTTGTTCTTTTAATTGGAGATTTCTGGTCACAAATAAAGTATTTAATGCTGTATAGGCAGAGCTGTGCACGTGTAGAGGAAGACGACTCAATGCTTGAACCTTGAGTTTCACGCGCAATGCGATCATAAGGCACGTGTATATCTTACTGTTTTCGTTGGGTATTCCTAGCCCTCATTATCATTTATTCCGTCTCAATTTCGATGCATCCTACACATTCCTCTCCTTAAGATGATAAAACAAACTGATGTTGGTCTTTCATGCACTCTAAATGCTCTTGCTGCTCTACCAGATTATTGCAAAGCATATATCGGAGTGACGTGTGCATAAATATCCATTATAGCCCAAAATGAACCTCAAAACCGTTCTACTAGTAGTGAATGAAACTAAGTCCTTGACGGTCTCAACAATCGATGTTCGTATTAGTTCGTTGATTAGATTCTTGTATTTTATCATTACATTTATAAAGCAAGAAATCAGCTCCTATCTAGTGAGCTATGTCAAATGTTGTTAGTATGCCCCCATCAGTTGAAGGAAAAGAACAGCATTAACAGACTGCAGGGACAGCGCATGCTCCAAACTGCAGTCCCGCATTCTATTACTGACAAGTGTTTATGGGATGTTTCTTAGTTCTATTCAGTTTTTGCACTGGTGTGAACACAGCCAAAACAAATTTTTAGTACTCAAGTAAGAGTATAACGGAAACCAAATGGGCCTATTCTTTTTCTTTTTGCACTGTAGACGGGCCATTGATGTTGTATTTTTTTTCTGATTGTAGAGCTTCCAGCTGCAACTGAAACCGCCATCCGGAAACATGCTCCTTCCGAACAACACTGGAAGTATCCAGCAAATCATCAACATCGCTAACCCACAGAAGGTATTCAATTGTCGTATCTTTAGTTCCGGGAAATAAACATCGCTTACTCGCTAATGTTTTGTAACTTTAGTTCCGGGAAATAAACATCGCTTACTCACTAATGTTTTGTAACTTTAGTTCCGGGAAATAAACATCGCTTACTCACTAATGTTTTGTAACTTTAGTTCCGGAAACGAAGAAGATTTCGCTAAACTAATTTGAATTTGAATGGCTTTTGCTTCCATCTGGTTTTGTGTGGAAGACTGTAACTTTATGCTTAGGAATGAATTTTTCTATAGGTTGTACCGAAACTCGGTACAGCCAAAAAATGTTTAAAAAGCTAGTTGGCGAAATTACTAGTTCAAGTGGAAGGTACGAGCTGATTTCAACACTGTGATATTTTTCTGACAGGTAGGTATGTGCAAATATTACATATGTATTGGTTTTCTATGCCGAAGCTTCTCTCCAGTTCTGTTGCGTACATGTTACAATTTATCAATGTATGGATTTAATATGTTTTACATTTGCGCAGAAAATCAATCCCATTTCCCATGAAAATTTTCAAGGGAATTAGTTTTTCCCCTGTCACAACTAGTTTTTCTTGATGTTGAACAGATTGTGGTTAACTTAAGTGAAAACTAGCAAACAATGAAATTGGGTTTTCTGGCCATTTTTCTGTTACGTTAGCAATCTCTTTGTATAGTAAGATCTTGTTCAGTATAAATCCACTTGTTAATTTTCCGTAAGCTTTTGTGAAAATTAAGCAAGTTAATGGGCAGTTTTGTTTTTGAGATTGTGTGTTTGTTCCACCGTTAGCAGACAAAGAAAAGCAAGGTATCTAAAGAGATCTAAAAAAATCTTTTAGACGGATCTAAAAACCTAGGAGCTCTTTCAAATGCGTAGTTTTAGCAAATGGTTTTGTGGTGCTTAAAAACTCTCTTTTCGTTACTATTCGTGAAACATAGACGAAGATGCCAAAATACCTTTCAAATAAGTTCTTTTAATAGAGCGAAAAACAAGCATAGCTTTCTTCCATTTTTAAGGAAGCCCTGCCGACTTTTGCTGTGGTTAGAGACCCTAAATAGAAAGAATTGCACTAAAAGGCGCCGGTTGGCCTAATAATGCGAACAGCCATTGCAAGTTTACTTCGCGCAGCCCTTTGAGCGTTGAATTGCATTCAGCCATTCTAACTTCGAAAAGAAAACGACTGACAGAAAGCGTTTCAGACTATAAAGAGCAGGTGTTTGTGTTCGCTTTGTTTGTAGTTTTGTCTTCAGTCTTGGCCTGCTCGTAGCTTCTAGGTGTTTTACCGTTCCAGCCAAACATTCGCTTTTTCATCATGATCAAGCTTCTTTTGCCAGCTTACTCAATTCTACGTCAAATTTTATGGCTGAAACTAGGTCTCATTGTTAGTAATTTTCCCTTCCAGCAAAACATACGAATGCGTTTGAAGATTAACTACTCCATGAATGGGCAACTGGTAGAGGAACAGGGACAGTTGGACAATTTCCCGCCAGATCTGATGCAATAAGGTAGTCGTCATGTATAATTGTGCTCAGCAAGCTCCTTACGAAATGCGCACCTATGCAATGAACCAAGTTTTCATGGAGGGGGCAATTCTGAAATTCATAGCATTGATTTTGTATTTAATCTCCTGTCTATCAAATCGTTTCAAAATCCAAAGGCTAATGCTTGATAATTGTCTGTTGTTTTGTAAAATTACTCGTCGTTGTCGTAACTTAGGATATCAGTATAAATTTGATGGATTGTGTAGGATTTTCATTGTAGCTATAGTTTTCTTGTCTATCAATTTTCCTTTTTTCCTTTGATTCTCCTCCTTCGCCCCTTCCTTTCAATTTAACCTTGTGTGCTTCTGCGAGACAGTTTCCAGCACAAAATTGGTTTAATGTTTCATAACGTAGGTCCTTCTAAGCTTTCTCCACCATCCGATCCTTATACCTGTAAGCGAGAAGGCGTGCGGTATCTAGTGGGAGCACATTAGAAAAGGTATTTCTAGATCAATTCATAACTGGTTGTTGAGGCGAATTGTTTTTGAATTTTTGCTCAGACTTTTCTATAATCGATGTCTTGTATTGGCAATATGTCTTTTCATCGATAAGTTTAATTTTGATAAATCCTGGTGGACATAGAGCAATTCAGAAATAACTAAGTATTTCCTTGATGTATCTCCAATTTAAAAGTTGTATACATAGACATCAATTATCTTCAAACATTTTATCAAATTGGCTATTTTTACAGGTTTGATCTTAACTTCAGATTAATTTCAAAGATCGAATTATGGGCTGTGAGTTAGGTAGTCCTAAGCCACATCATCTCATGAAACCCAGTTAACGTTAGAGTAATGACAAACCTCATTGTTCAAGTCGCTGTTACCATGGTCATACTTGAAATACTGAGGGTTTGCCTTGCAAGCACAATGTTAAGTATGCCATTCAAAATGTAACTTTACAGGAAAACAGCGAATCACCTAGAGTATAATGTTCTTAAGTGTGACGTCATAGAAGAACAATGTTTAGCATATTTTACTCTCGAGTAGATTTGAAAGATTTGAAGATGCTTCGCTGCTATTATGCATCCAGGAATAATTATCAGTTAGTGTGGAAAGCCGAAGCGATTTTCTACGACATGATATAATAATTTATTTTATGTGTTAGTGGGGATGTTGAAAGTAAAGAAAATTCTGGTTGATTTTCCAAGATTTTGTTGTCGAAAATTTAGTAATAATGCAGGTTATGCTACACAGAAACGGTAGGACATCTATCTGGTGTCGAGGTGTTGTCTGCGATGGGGAATTCTCGAACCCGACAAACCTTCGCCACAGTTATACAACCAGAGTATCTATCAGAGTATCTGTTGCGCCTGCGTATCAAGCATTTGTCTTGTTTTCATGGTACATGGGCCTCGTCGACTTGAACCGACACTCAGTTCTGTTCCTTCTGGCCCACAGTGCATTGACAATGTGCCTCAGAGTAAGTCTGTTTGTGTCAAAAGCACATCTAGAAAGCACGGGAAAACATTTTTTGTTTCTTTTGCCGCGATAACAAGATACCTATAGTACGAGTTAGAAAGCAAAATTAACTTAAAATTACGTATGTGATTCATATACATAGAATTGTTTATACACTTTGGTGTGTACAGCAAATGATTGAACTACTAATCCAATATTTAGTTGCGGGAATAGGGGATTCGAATTTGCAGGGGAAACGTAAATTATACAATTTCAATTATTGCCTTTGACTCAACAATTTTGTCTGGGATTGTAGAAAACTAGAAAGGTATGAAAATCTTCTGATAAAGATTGTCCTGTGCCTACCTTGAGCCATCTTACCAGCTAGAGCTGACAAACAAACAAAGAAGGTTGTCACACCAAACATCCCCTACGTTTATGCTAATAAAAATGAAAGTACTCAAAATAACAAAATTGAGTGCTTTAAGCAGAAATATGTAGCATTTAAAATTCCTATCTTTTTGCGTTTAGTTTTTGTAGAAAGTTTTTAAAAAACTAGGCCATTGAAAGTAGCATTCTATTTCTGGCCAGTTCGCCCTTGGGCAAATGAAGGAGGCATAAGATGTCAATTGAGGTCGAAACAATGAATGTTTTTAAAGCTCGGTAAATAATTTACGATTTTGGTAAGTTTTATTGTGTTTGTTTCCATTCCAGTCCATTTCTTACATTCTTTTTCTTATAATATTTCAACTGCTTTTCGGCAACCATGGAAACTAACCGCTGATGAACAGACTATCATAACCTCGTTTAGGTATCAGTTCCCAATCCCCTCTTCTACCATTTAGTGCATATGTTTGAACATAACCAAAAACATTAGAATTTACTTTAGTATCCTGTCAACATTGCAAATATTCTATATTTTTGATAACTGACGAAACCTCTAAGATCATTCTGTGTATACTATTGTTTCATGTAAAGTCTTTACAAACACTCATTTTTTATAAGAAACTGGCTATAAGAAACGAGTACTGGACAGTCAGAAAAAATTAAGAAACTTCTGTACTCGAAGCAAAAAAATTAAGAAACTATTAAATCGTGATAAAACTAAGAACAACGAAATTTTGTAAAATCCAAGAACAAGATTGCCCTGTTGGCCTAGAACTTAAGACACAAGGGATAAAAATATACTTCCCACATCTAAATACAGCATCGGAACGGAAGCGAATCTCATGCCGTGATAAAAAAGGTCACGAACATTTCATAACATCATTAATGACATCATAATTAAGAAACTCTTAAGAAACAATGAGTATTGAAATTTCCAGAACTGGAGTACTCAACATCGACCTTTGTTTCTTATAAGAAAATGAGTGTATTTCAATCTTTTTTCGTACGAAAATAGATGCCACAAAAATTATGAAAATTTTCAAGAGTAAACTCTGTCCTGAAGAGCCACTAAAAAGTTCATCAAGGTCTGCCATATCAAAATACAACAAAAGGAAAATGCATGATCTCAATGTTTTTTGTAATAATTTCCCGCAATCCATTAGAGATAACGATTCACATCGTACGGTTAAAAAGCTAAGATCTCATCTTTTAAGCTAATAAAATCCATTGAAGATCAGACAATATTTTTTAAATCTTTGAGAGCAACCTTAGCAAATTGTTATTGTATTTTTGTATATCATAACTGAATGGATATCCTGTATAAGTAATGAATGAAATGAAATGATCAAATGAAATGAATTGAAAATGAAATGGAGGATTTTAAGAAACAATGTTTTAAGACCAAGACAGAGCACCTGCCCCGGAGCGAACATGTTGTGTCTTTGGGACTAAAAAAATGAAACAGAAACTGCATTCACGGAAATTTATCATTTCTTACAGACAGGACCGTCGCTAGCTGTTGTCCTAAAAGGGGGGTGTCCACGTTCAATTTGCAGACAAAGTGGTCGAACGACCCTGTAATTTATTTGCAAACGTTTGTAAATTTGCCGACGAAATACCCCTCAAGCCGTTCATAGTGACGCCACTACTTACAGAACGTTGGTTAGTCAACAAAACCATGGTTTTCGATTACAATTTCTTGAGGAAAAACTACCCAAATGTTTCAGCATACCCATAACCGAAGATGACAAGATAAACACCTAAAACTTCTGTTGTGGGTTCCAGAGTCTTGCCCGGCTTTCGCTTCCTGTTTATTCATCAATCATGCCACCGTGAGCAAATTATCAAGAAGGCTCGAATTTATTTTGATAACATTAAAAAACGCGTGTACGAAAGAAAACTACCAAGGAAAAGTTTCAACCTATTAAACAAATCATGCATGAATCTAGGGGTGTAGTGCTAGTGGTCTAATGTCAAAAATTAGCCAATTTATATTTTGGCTGTTGTTTTTAGCGAGGAGTAAATAACTCCAAGAAAATCTCGTACACCTTTTGTGAAAATCATATTGTTTTATATGAAAATCCCTGGAAATCCTTTTGTTTTAGGGTAAAATCTCGTACGCTATTTGCAAGAGTGAATTGCCCCTCGGTTTTTAGCAACATCTTTTGTAAGAACCCCCCTTGTTCTTTGATAGCACTACACCACTGATAAAATCTAACCATACTACACAGTGTGATTTAACTGTCCTTTATGACAAGGATTTTTGTTTTGGCCAAACACTCAAATCTACTTCTTTTTATTTTTGATGAATTCTTAAATAGCATTTAATTCGTGACCAAATGCGGAGAAATATTTGGCTCTTTTAAACTTGTTAATACCTACATGGTTATAAGCAGTGTTACTAAATCTAGCAGGGAAGAGTACACAGCACGGGTGTACATCGCAACATCACATTAGAGACCCTCCTTATAAATTCTTGACTCAAAAGAACTCTCGTTTTGAAGTTTTTCTGAATCATTTTATAGCCATTTTTATACCCTAATTTTTTCTTGACATGTTACCCATTTGGGAATTATTCGAAGCAAGGTACACTTTTTTATAAGAACTAGTAGAGGCTGGTCTTAATTTTCCCAAAAATTTGATGCTGGATTATTCTTAATTTGTTCTTTAGTCATGAGAGTGTACGCATGGCAATCTTTAAATTTTGTGCTTCGGGCCCCGTTTGCCAAGAATGAGCCATCCTTCATTTGCCGACAAGTTTTAAAACTTTGTTCAAATTTACATTTTACAGTACCTCAACCTCAGTATGTTCTTAAATTGTATTTTACTTTCGATAGTTTTAAGGCTCGTGCTCTTATAAATCGTTCTTACTAAAAAAGAATGTGCCCCTTTGTAGAACTTTCTAGAGAAGGGAAGCGCATCTTTTCTCGAGAATGTATCACTTGGACTTACGAGCGTGAATTTTCTTTTAAAGTTGTATTTTCGAAAAGCATTTTGATGAACCTGATGGTCTACAGTATCACCAGTTCAATTCTTTGATTAGTGCTTCTTCGATAGAATAAACGTGTTTTTTCGGACGGATGATCTCGAGATAAAATCGTCTAGCAACTCATCAACTGGAATTACAATATCTTTATGGACGTTCATAAAAGCAACTGCGTTTAGTCCTTCTTGGGACATTCGCGATCTCAAGTATGTTTTTAACCTCCTGAGGCCAGAGGATGAACTCTCAGCAGTACAACTGGACACTGGTGAAGTCAATACTATTCTGAGCAGTTTCTTTATTTCTGATACTGCAGAATGCTTTTTCTTCTTTTAGATAATCCACCACGGATTATACCTTCCTTCAGCTGTTCTGCGCTGAATTTTCAGCCCAGTGGCGGATAACAAACGAAATTCTCAGGGGGGCTGAGCCCCCTCCATAGCAATGCCCAGGGGGGGCTCGAGCCCCTGAGCCCCTACGTAGTCGGCGCCTATGAGCACTCTAAAGTGTGCGGATGTACAAACATTGTTTTACATCTATTAATCAGGATATATTTTTGATGATAGGATATTTTGCTATTGTTATTTGAAAGTGATACCTGATTATGCATATCGTAAATTCTCTTTAAAGCTCTTTAAAGGGGCTTATTGTTTTCAGCACTTTAAAGGGGGCTTATAAGAGAGGAAGGCTAAATCGAGAGAGGGGACTTGAAAGAGAATTTACTGTATCCAATGTATTTCTTCAGATTTTGTCTCGTGTTTACTCCTTGAATTACACTTTAATGATTTAAGAACAAATAACAATATCCCAGCCTCAAAGTTTTGGAAGAATTACGAAGTGCCAGCGTGAGTAGATTGTTTCTCTTCCCTCTCTGCGGAGCTACAGCAAACTACGCCCCTGTATATTCATGCATCTACAGGGCCGTAAATTGAAGCACTTTTGGGAGGGGGAGAGGTGGAGAAATTAAAGCATGTCGGGATGTGTCTCTCTTAATTTTGGTACCTAGGGTAAGGCTCTGGTACCCAGGATAACTTTTGCTTTGCTGGCCTCCTAGAGACCTTATCACCAGAAAATTCGGTGTTTAGTTGGTTCTTCCTACTATAATCCTACTGTTATCTAAGTTGCTTTCACGACCGTACAGACTCTTATGTACATCCAACGCTGAAACCTAATGAAACCGACTCTTACAAGGTTCTTCAAGAAGGGTGAATAAGATATATGACTAAAAATAACTTCACGTTTCTAACGAATAGATATTTTAGGTCTCTTTTTCAAGGGGCTTCATTGATCTTGGCAAAAAGGTGGGGTGGGCCTAGTTCTCTTAACCGTTATTTCTTCAAAGCTTTTTATCATATTTCGTTATGGTTATAGTCAGAGGTGTCAGAGACGAGAAAATTGAAAAAAAAGCTTTTCTGGATTGTCATTTGCAGCAGGTCATTTTCTTTAAAAGCTTATTCTATCAAAATCATGGACGTTAAAAGGACCCTTGGGATAGCTCGAACACACTCCAATCAATTAATATATTACTCCAATCAATATTACAAACCATCACTTATAAAATGGTCGAATTAGGAATTTGAAAATTTGAGATGATCGAACAGAGTAATGATTTCTCCAAAAATTTCTATCAAAAATTTGACCCAGATCTTTTAAAGCTACCTAGTTGCAAGCAGGGGTGCAGTCCTAAAAGTTAGGAGGGGGGGCTGTGCTGTAGGAAACTCCCAGGACCACAGCCATGTTCACAGCTTATATTGTATACTTGAATTTGTGTTGAAGGTTCTCTGTTGGGTATATAAAGGACACAAAAGGTTCATAGGAAATTGCTCATTGACGGAAAATCGATAGCATAATAAAGAGTTAATTCAAATTTCAAGAAGGGAATTTGCCGAACCAAACATATACTGGCTTGTTAAATGGGGAGAAGGGCTCAGCCCAACAAAATCTCTCTAAATTTTAACAAAGGGGGCTGAGCCCCCCTGAGTTCCCCTCTACGGCAACACTGGTCGCAAGAAAAGTCAGGCAATCTTAAGCTGAATTGCAACACAACAGCTGTTTCATGGCCAATCCTGCTTGGGGCCGTGTAACCAATCTAACTGCAATTGTGATTTGTGATGAAGTAGGTGATTTGCAACGTAAACCAGATTATCACTGCAAAGTTGTGTTACCTCCCCACTTTTTTTCACTGGGCTTTGATTGCCGCCCTGTAGAAGACTCAGTTTGTTTTTTGTTATTTACTATCCTTATTCGAATAATGTGGCTCGATTTTCCCACATCACACATGTTGGCTCAGTTAGGCCCATTCATATCGGATATCGACTCGGCTTTGTTTTATTTGTTTACTTCTCCGCCGTCCTATCATTTTTTTTGTTTAAGTTATTTTGGACGGTTGTCAAATCACGGGATTGTAGCTAAGCAGGTCTATCTTTTAGTGAAAACAGCAAGAATTATACGTTGCTTTTATCTATGAACATAACGTCTGTCACGCGCCGTTATTCCCCAGGCCATTCTAAAAATTATCGACAGACTTGTTACAGTTTCTACAACCGAACTGAAAAAAATTGCAACAAAGCTGCAACAAAATCTTTGCAAATCAAATCGTCACAGAATGTGTTTACCACATTTGAAACGCTACAATGACAGGAAACCAAAATTAATGCCCTTGTTTGAGTATTTTAAAAAGCTTGTAATTATGCAGAAAAGACACCCAGTTGGGCGGAGAAGCTGTCAAAATCGTCTGAGGAAAATATAGACAACAAAAGGCCGAATGTGAAGAACACAGACAACAATGGGCCTATTGTCTAGAAACATGTTCCTATCTGCCAATCAAAGTTGATTTTGCTTGTTGCTCTTATCGCTGATTGGTTGAATAGGCATGTAACGTCATGTCGAAAAATGTTCACGATCAATAACTTGACAGTCTAGGGAGATGTGCAGATTCGCGAGGAAATGTCGGTGATTTTAGGCAATCTATTTACAAGATCCAAACTTTAGAAGGGCAAAACATTGCAAAAGGACTTCTGTTGTTTCCTTCTTCGCATTTAAATCACAATCTGTGCGTGAGGTTTTAAATAAACTGCTAGAATTGTTGCTGGCAAACTGGGAAGTCGCTGGGAACATTGATCACGCAAGAAAGCAAAACAAGATTGAGCTACCGGTGAGTTACCTCTACAGATTCATTATTGGTTATTTGAAGAATGTTTTACCTTGTAATTCACTCTTGCCTGCTGGATTTTGCAACCAGACCTTGTGGAAGGCCCATCAAATTTACACACAAGACAATGCATTGTCTTGTCTAGTGCAGTGAGATGATGTCTGGGATTTTAGGACAGAACCTATGTTTATGAAAGTGTATTATGCCTCATTTTTTAGAAGTTTGTTTGTCAAATGGTGTCATATATTTTTCTTAAATCTTATTTTGATGAACTGATGGTTGCTTGTTTGCACCAATGCAAATTTTCGCCACATCTCTGTAACGCCTTGTCCTCGTTCTGCATGTCTGGAGGGACACAGGTGATGTGAATATCGCGTCTTATAAAACCAAATGTAACCTATAATTCTATGCCCCTGAGTGCACAAAAATACCTGGAAAATGTTTAATAAATTGTTTATATTTTATTGTCACGTGGAGATATCTTTTGATGTTTTTGCGTTCTAATTCAAAGTCACTTTCCAGGGCGTTTGTCATAAGCACCGAATGGTCTAGCATCGCCCGACAATTGGTGCAGAATGATTCCTCAGAGGGCAGATATTTTGCCAAGGTCTGTCGCTGTTAGTGAAGGTACACCACTTGGCAAAGGCATCTTGCTCCCATTGGATCAGACAGTGAGTAGAATTATACCTTTTCCTGTTGGAGGTGCTCTGAAATAAAATTGTAATCACATAATTTTCCCGACGAGATCAAACCCCGATTGCCAAGGAAGCAACGCCTGTGCGTCAATATTTCAGAACTATAGTGACCCAAAGCCAGACATCATTTTGCCATCCAAAGTAAGGTTTGAGAAACACCAATCTGTTCCATGTCATTTTGTGAGACTGCATGCAGGCAAACACTTGCGTTGCCTGTACATATACCAATGGGTCAACTGATTTAGCGTCTGACCGGATTTATGAGCTTATGTATTGTTATTTCCCAGTGTATTGTTTGAAGGCGTAAGGCTGTCATGAGCACCAGTAGATTATGGACCTAAACGTCTCTTTTGTATGGTTTGCTGCCGTTGTCAAAAAGCACATGTTGTGTACGTAGTTGAACCTATATTCGAGTCTCCTAGCCTATTTATGCTTTGAATGGACATTTTAATTAAACGCGGCGCGTGCTGTTCAGTTGTATCTTTGCTTGAATTCAGATGGCGTTCAAGCACTACCGCGAGCATTTTCATCGAACCGTTTTGTTTGCCTGCAACCTTTTCTGATTAAATACAGTTTTATTTCAGCTAAAGGGTTATTTTCTACGAAATTTCTAATTCGAATATTCTAAATTGACTGAGTCTCATTTTTTAGCGATCCGGGGGGCTTTGGGATGGAGAGGTACGTTGGAACTGGGTGGGCCCCTACCTCCCAAATTTTGGTAAAACGCCCCTTGTCCAAAGTGACCTCTTTGGGACCTTTGGAAAGTGCCTCTTTTTCTTAAGCACATTACCCCTTCTTTTATCTGCCCCCAACTTTAAATGCTCCTGAAGTATCTGGGGTTGCTTTCTTAGAGAACTGCAATAGAAGTTATTTACGCTTCCCGTGAGAATTATTTGTAGCAAAAATTTTGTGTAATTTCAGCTTACAAAATGCACAGAGTATTTTAAAAATGTTCACTATAGTCGATTGTTTCATGGGTGGGGGTGCGGGTGGGGATGGGGTGTTGCAGCTTTTAAGGGCAAAACCTCTGTCTGTAGATTTGAGTAAGTTGATGGGGTGAAAAAAGCTGCACTTTGCAACTTGAGGACAAAATCCCAAACAATATTTTTACTTTTTCCAAGTTTAGTTTTGTCCTTTTATGAATCTAAATAAAATCAGGCCAGGTATAAAAAGAACCCCAAAAATGAAAAACAATTTAATCTAAGGCCTTTACTTAGTTTTTTTATGTATCAAGAATGAGTACATGAAATGGGGGTGCTCGGTTTGCTTGCAGGGCTGAGTCTTCAATAACAGGGATCTGAATAAGATTATGGGTGTGCTACAAGTTTTCAAAACAAATAACTGGAAGGGGATTTAATTATTTGAGTCCAAAAAGTAGTTCATAACTTTATTTTGCATTGCAGCACTGTTTTATCCTTTAATGTTACAGTACCTGTAAAATTGGTGGGATTGCATGCAAATAAAACAAGCCTTGCTGTGTTGAAATTGACATATATCTTGTTTGAACAGGTTTTTCAAACTATGATAGGGATAGTGATGGGATTTGAATTGATAGTTTCTAATGATAGTCCTTATTTTAAATATTTTACAGAATCCTATTTCATTTTCTGTAAATAGATTGCCTCTAAGTTACCTGTGTACAGTTTTTTGTAATTGTCTTGTCATTTTGTGTGAAATTTTCAATACCCCTCAGAATCCACTGTTGCCTCTGGATCAAATTTTATTGGAATCCAATATAATTGTAAATAGAAAATAATTCAAGTTAAAACAAAATGATATTGAGTCAAGATTTTAGTTTTATTTGCTAATCTTATGATTGAATTCTAGAAATCTCAAGAAAACTCACTCTAGCAACTTGTTTTATTTTTTATCAATACTCAATAACATTTGTAATAGTAATAATAATAATAATAATAATGAAAACTTTTCAATTCAATTAAACTACAATTACAAACCTCTCTATTACCTTGGTAACTGGCTAGCCTGGGTTACAGAATATGACTAAAACAATCGTATAGTAAAAAGGCAAACTAAGAAAGAAAGAAGAGAGAAGCTAAAATGTATATATATAAATATATCAAAGTGATAATGATATTATTATGATAATAATAATAATTCCATAAAACCATTTCAAATGACTTTTGTACATTCATTATTTGCAAAAAGTGACTGTATGCTATTTTTGCTATCATTGTTAACCAAAATTTGAATATTTGCCAGACGTTCGAATGAACAATTGATGCCCTTTGCGGGGCGTTTTAATCATAATTATGAACCGGTAATCGGTGTTTCTTTTCAGAAAGGACAAATGGCCTTTGCTCATAATATGGGGGCTCTATCCAGCTCAGATTCACGTTTTTGTCAGAAATCCTGTCGAGCCTATCTTTTTGTCCGAAAATCGTGGGCCTAAGCCCCCCCCAAACAAAACTAACCAATGGTATTCATTTTCTACCATTAATCAGTGGAATTCATTTTTGAGAAAAAATTAACATTCTTCGGTAGAAAAAAACCGACAAATCCCCTGGACAATACTGAAGCTTCGCCATTTAAAAAGGGGAGAGGGATGGGATGCTATTTGCAGTTTGACAAATGTTTTAGACGGCACTTCAGTTTTTCAGCTGTTATGAAATGAAAACGAATCCATAAGATGGAAGAAAATGCCAACGAATTGTCCATTTGGTGCTTAAGGAGGCTTTTGCCCCCTGCCCCCAACCACTGGGCCCTTGCCTTAAAAATAGTGCTGTTGCACCGATAATGCAATGAGGCGAGCCAGGCATGATAAAATCCTTGCGACTGTGGTATCGTCTGGTAAATTTGTGTACGTTTTGTAAAAATTTTATGTGAATATAAGGAAAAAAATCCTTGCGACCTCATTGTTAAGTTATTTATTACAACATTGGCGGTATTAATCCTTGCGAAATTAAAACAAGGTTTTTACGTGCACTAACATCTGCACAGCATACTTCCCATAGTTTTCTTTTCTCATTTTAGCACCTGCTTGTGGAGAAAAATCTGGCCTAATTAGCGTACATTCTCAGTGTCCTATTTAGACTTTCACCGTGTTAATAAGGCTAAACGATGGAAAATCACAGCTAGAAAGCTCTTGACCCCAGTGGAAACAAATTAAGAAATATTTATAATTCAATGGTTTTCATTATACTAGAGGAAATGTTGATATTGTCTCCAAATTAGACGACCTTGCTAACATCCTTTGATTCTTCATGAATTTTTGACAAACATGATGAAGAAAGCATTTTAAAAGTTTGGAGCATATGTAGGAATCGTCTCATGTAGGAATTAAGGTGCGAGCTGCAAACAAGCACGCCAATTTTGTAAAAGTGAGCGGGGCAAGAGCCCCCTTGTGCCCCAACGAGAATCTTGCAGTTTTTTTAGATACAATAGTGATTATGTAGTAAGCAATGTCCTATACAATTTATAATCAAGATCCTTCTGACGTGGTATGCAAGCTAGGCCCAATATACTATCTGAATTGGGTATACGTCCAGTTGCAGGTGCTAGGGAAAACCTTTCGCGTCTTTGACTTAATTTTTGACTTTGTACTGATGACTGCTTCTGCCTCTGTGGTATGCTCATGAATTTGGTCTGGATGAGCAAAATTTTTGTGTATTAAGTTTTCTATACGTGGCTGTTCAGATATTTTTTGGGGGAGCAACAGTTTTACAGTGTCACTGAGGAACAACAACCGTGACGGGTCCTTGAAACAACATGTTTATAAAAATATTTTATTATCATTATGGTTTAGTAAATCTTGGAAAAACTGGAGCCAACTACAAGCACGGACTATTGAAATATTTTATTTTTATAGTATGACATATCCATCCTTTTGATCAAATAACTGCAGCATGCAGTTTAACGATCATGTTAGAGAGATTGGTGTTAATTGTGAACTAAGTATTCTAAAATCTAATTCGCTTCTCTGTAAATATCGATAAACCACTATATTTTTTGTTTCTCAGTATCCCATATCCGTTCATTTGTCACTCGTTTTGGCTGTCGCTAACGGGCCTTAGTTTATAAGAAAGACAATTATTATTTTATCAGTTGATAACAGACCTTGGCGTAGCTTTACCTTGCATACTGGAGGAGCCGGAGAGTCATTAAGAGTAAAATTTGACTAAGAAGATATATATATAGATGAAGAAAAATTTAGGTTCTATTTCACCAACCGATAAGCGACTTACCGAACAACTATGGGGTTGGTGAACCAACTGAAGATTTACCGACCAACTCATGAAGAATCGGGGAATGAAACAGCCCCCGCGTCCAATACTAGCTACGCCTCTGGTGATAAACAACCTAGTCAAGGCATGGCAGGGCCATACTGAGAGGAATTTATTTAAGGGGAGTCTGGGAATCAGGAAAATTTTGGCAGAACAGCCCCTTTGAATACTCATAGAATGCTTTATTTTACATGTACTTCACAGTGTCTCACAAAATGCACAGTTTGGCTGGTGTATACTATAATCTATAGATTATTGGGGGCCGTGACCCGCAAGCATTCGCTCTCAGAATATTTTTGTTTACGTTTAACAAAGGCAAAAGGACCAACCATATTGTTTTTCTGAGCACCTTTGACCTATAATAGTTTGTTTTTGTTTTGGCCTGCTTCATAGATCATAGAACCAAGGCCAAATTATAGTGATATGCTGAGGAAAGATTCTGTGTTCATGTGGCCATATCTTAGTCAATATAAAAAAAATTAGCTGAAATTGCTTATTTAGAGGTACTTCATAATGGTCTTTCAAGTTATAGGATTCTAAAGATATATATTTATGACTTCGTATGGTAAGAGATTTACTAGACCAAAGAAACATACATTAAATCGACACCCCATCTTTTTTTGATCATTACCATTTGTGATTATCGACATATGTTATTTTGATATTCACTGTGTAATGTAAATTATATTTTCAGAGCGGCAAAGGCTATCCAAAAATATCTGATTTATGGGTTCATGAGTTGCCGTGGACCTAACGTGTCGCACGTTGCAAAATAAAATGCTCATTTGACTAACTGCGCTATATTGTTAAGTTTATAAGCATTTTCGTGTGTTTAGTAGTGGTTTTATGTCTATTATCATGTTCCCTGTAAATATTTTGACAAATATCCATGTGTTGTGTTACACTGATTTTTACGTCACTTTATTTAATGCGATTTGTTACGTCACTGTGTCGCACGGCTTCTGATGTATTCACCTATTTGTGTTGCGACAGGGCAACCACTTGCTAGGCATCAAAGAACTGGCAAAGCCACTAAACGCCGTTTCAGGAGAAATTCGTGACCAATGGACATATATGGCGCACCTGACAACAGCAGCTAGATATCCTTACGAAACATTCCTGTCTCCATTTGGACGCGGTGGTATCATAGGGGGTCGAGACGGGTGAGTGTTCAAATTTTTTTACCAAAGCATTCCTTGTCAAGCTTAAAATCTTGTATTGAGCACACCGTTCTGCTGTTTTTTAATTTCGGGTTTAAATTTAGTAATACTGTTGGAGTTCCAATTTTTTTACCCTTTAGTATTCGGCATGCTGACTTCATTACTAATGAAAGCACAATCTTAAAACATTTTCAATTTCATCCCCATGAAATAAGAACATGGAATGTTTTTCTGAAGTAAATTTGAATACGTCATTTTGAGTTTTCTCATTAGCTGAAGGGATGTAGCTGTTTTGCTATCATCAAATTCTCTTCTACTTATGGTTGATGTTTGAAACAAACGGAAGACGTCGATAATTGCTTGTGGGTACTTCTTTAAAACTGTTAGGAAGGATGACCCGAAAACGCACTTTTCTGTTTTCCCCAGAACCGTCTCTCGTTAGCTGTTTGCAAAAAGGCAATATTTCTCAGTTGGCCTAGCTGTCGCGAAAATTGAAGTTTCCTTTGGCATTGTGTAGCACAGTTTTCGAGACTCGAAAGGAAGCTTTCTTCTTGTGCAAGATGTGTTAAGTTTGCGTTCGTAGCCTGTTGCTGTGCACTTTGCGTTTTGTATGCCCTGCTGGGATTCAAGTTGTTTGATGTTGTTTTTGCAGCTGATCTTTTTAGACTTTTAGACTCGTGTTTTTAACAATGTTATTTAGCGTTTTCCTTCCTAAAATCATGTTTTTCTTTTCAGATATGGCACGCTAGATTTAGCCTTGCTTTCTGGCGCGAGACGAAAAAATGCGACAAGGGAGACGACCAGCCCTTTGAAAGCTTGGCTGCACGAGCACCGCAAGAACCCATACCCAACTAAAGGAGAAAAAATAATGCTAGCGATCCTCACTAAAATGACAGTCACACAGGTAGGCAAGTGTGAAACATACTCCACTGGTTGCTAATTTCCACCTCTTTTCCGTAAGAAACACCAGCAATATTTCTAGTTATTGTGCTCATCGTTTGCTAAATCCAAGAGAAAGAGAATGAAAAAGATGCACAAATAAATGGTTGGCAGGGCTCATGCTAATTTGTTTGCCGGAAAATGTTTGGAAATGCAAATTTTATTCCAACAAAAAGGACTTTTCAGAGCTCTAGATAGAAAATTTCGCAAGGACTTCTAACCAATCTTGCTTGAGCTATTTCAAATGGCCTCTGTAGTCACGTGCCGTGGCACGTCATTTTTTATGACTTATGATTCCATGCTTATGTTGGGACACTTTCGAATTCCAGATTTCAACATGGTTTGCAAATGCACGGCGAAGACTGAAGAAAGACAACAAAATGACATGGTCACCGCGAAATAAATCCACAGACAAGAGGGACTCTGTATCAAGAAGCTCAAAATTTGAGACAGAAGAGTCAAGGAAAGGTTCTGGTAGTTCTACTGATGATGAAGATTTCATTCACTGCATGGATACAGACGAAAATGGTAGGTGATTTTTTAAGGCTGGTTGTTTGCCTGTTCTTCCAAAGATATTATATAAAGAGTTTAATTCAGGACCACATTGTCTTGTTCTCTTTAGTAAGTGGAAATCAGGCCTTGATGTAGTTTTGCAAACATGTGTAATATCTTTTGGCTAGATTTAGCTTTGTATTGTATTGTATTGTATTGTATTGTATTGTATTGTATTGTATTGTATTGTATTGTATTGTATTGTATTGTATTGCATTGCATTGCATTGTATTGTATTGTATTGTAGATTATTTAACGTTAGTTTTTACAATAGTGAATATACACTAATTAAGACTAACATGAAGCAATTTCAAGGATTGCATAAGAAAGTTCATTTACTGCAAAACGAGCATGCGCACTTGTTTTCAAGGAACCAAGTTTTGATCAAATTCTTAAATTGTCTAGTATTTTGTGCTGTCTTTATTGATTCCGGGAGTAAATTCCAGATTTTAGGCCCTTGAAAACTTAATGATCTGATACCATTATTGGTAGTTCTGGCTTTTGGAATATATAATTGCTCTTTCGTGAAAACTCTCCGTTGCTTTAAGTAAAGAGAAGTCTTTCGTGGCACCTGTGACATTTGCTTTACGATTTTTCTTCTGATAGAGCAACATAGCCCCGAATTTTCCAAAGCTGGCGATGTTAGGATGGAAGATGATGTGTTTTCTGAAGACGAAAGACCAATTTGCATCAGCGACAAAACAGAAGCGAAACGCGAGGCTGCTTGCGAGCAAGACGCAGAGCCCAAAGTGAAAACTAATTCAGAGATGTCAACTAAGCAGAGCCAGGAAGGTCTGTTGAAAAAGATCGATTTCGGGGGCAACAATTCGCCTGTTGGGAATTTACAGCGATGGGTTGATGGTCACTTTGGGAACCAGTCTCCTGTCGATTTTCCAAGAGAGCTCACTCCACCGCGTACCCCAGTGGAAGAAGTCATCTCTCACGGGCTGTATAATGTTAAAGAAACCCTGAAAAGTAAAGAAAAAGTAAAAAACAACCAAGGTAATTAAAAATTATTTTGATATTTCTTTGAATTGGCAGCAATGTTACCGGACAGCAACTAGCCTGTTCTTCAGACCTCCAAACCCAGTTTGGAAATTTTTTTACTAGCTTTTTTATTTTTTATTTCCTTTTTTAGGGAAGGTAGTTTTAGGTTTTCTAGCTGTTTTTTATTCAATATAAACGATCCAATAGTAGGCCTCAATCATTACTTAGAACTCCTAGGCCAGCAAGAAGATTTGGCAACTGATTGAACATATTTACCACAATATAAACTGTGCATAAAGAATCAGAAATTCTGTCATTTATTTTTGCGTTCTTACGTCATCTGTATGTTCTATACCCGTTCTCTTTTGTGTGTTATCACTGTGATTATCGGCAAATATAATATTCGATGACCCGTTCGGCACCTTTGATGCGTCTTCACTGACAGACTCAAAGAATCTGCACATGCTCTTTATTTAAAAGCAGACGAGCCGTCTAGAATGGATTAAAAACAAGATTTGTTTTCAAATAAATTCTAGTCTCTATTATAAGAACGTTTTTGTCTGAACGTGTATTTCCTATTATCATTCGTATTTTTCCAGACGTTATAACTTCACTCTTTTTAAGACTGTTCATCTTTTTGTCAAAGAGATTAAGTTTTTACAATTTGCTTAAGGAAGTGGGTTAATTGTACAGAGCTTTTATAGGCAAGCGTCTTTTACTTGTTTGATTTGGATTAATTCAATGTAATATATCAAGTACTTGAAATGTTGCTTTATAAAGGGCAGCATTCTAGTTTTAATAACAGCATTCTGCAATCATTCCGAACTGGATTGTACCGATCTTTGTACAAACGTTCCTTTCATGTTAGATGCGGACAGTGGTAGAAAACTACGCGAAATCGTATTGAAGGACAAGCAGTGCTCAGAGGGTCTACCAGAACATCGAAGAAATAGAGATGATTGCTCAGATTTTATCAATAAAGCACCCCCGTCATCGGAGGATGTGTTTCGCTCTGTGGCAGCAACTGAAAGCGGCTTGCCGAGCCAATTTAAGTAAGTTTTGTTTAATTTTTTATGCCCTCGCACTAATTTGTCCATCAGATGATGTCATGACAGAATGTATGAAGACCTGTGCCAATTCATGTACCCTCCAATGTTATCTTTGAAAAACGTTTTGTACATCGATAAAGCGGCATTAATTGTAATGTCCCTCTCCTCACAAAGCAATGTTGTTTTGCAATTTAGATCAACCTTCCAAATTTTACGGAAATCAAATCAACTTCATTGCTCTTTTGGGGAAGGGATGAAAATTAATGCAGGCTCATCATTTTGGTGAGCAACTACTTGTATTTATTGTCAACTCGTGGGGGGGGGGGGTGGATAAAATACAATTTTTTGGCAATACAAAAGTAACAGTTTCTCAATTGCCAAAAATTTTCGAATTTGCAAAGATAATATTCTTTAAAAGTCGGCTTTTCGATTCCAAAGCTCGTAGTCTAATTAGATGACTCTTAATTGTTGTTGTTAACGACATTTTCCTTGTTTTAGATCATGTGGCCTAACAAGCCATAGAGAAATAGATGCTGTGCTGGCCTTAACATCATTAGCTTCCAGATGATGATGATGATGATGTAGAAAGAAAATCGAGACTGCACTTGAAAATACTACAAAGAAGTATTCAAGTATTCAATTACTCCCAGTATTAGACATTATATTGTTTTCTGAATAAGGCTATAGCGTCTTAGATTGTTTAATCAAAAGCATGTATATCTTGCGTTGTGGTAGCTATTTTAAACTCACCAATAGCTCGAGGTAGGCCTTGCCCCACATTTCATTGTTTCTATACTATTAAGTTCAGCTTCTTTTTCTATAGTTAGTTATATTGCCTTGACAACCCAAGCCTAGCGTTTATTCTTTATATTCCTCGGCCCTTATTCCAAGTTTTCTACTTAGTCCTCTTGTCACATTACATTACGAAGCTTTCTTCACCACTTTCTACTTCAATTGCATAAACTTTGTTTTCTCTCCTTCATCCTCGATAGTTCTTGCCTCGATACTAATGCTTGTTCTTGCCTCACGCTTTTGTTCTTGCTTCATCGCTTCTTTTTGCTGCTAGGATTTTACATTTTTGTCCATATTTCACAAACGTAAAACATTTGATTTTCTTTGTGCTTGATGCATTTAGCTATATAGAAACTTGTTGATTCAAGTAGAAATTACCTTTTGTAGATTTTTTAGATGTAGATAGAATTATAGTGTTAGCTCAAAGCGTCTAGATTTCCTAATTTTTATTTTTTCATTTAATAAGGTAAATGTATGTAGAAGATTGGGGGGAATTTAACCATGAAGTTAATTTACTGTTGTTTTGTTATGTGATTTTGTCGTTTTGTTGTGTAACGAGAGCGAACCGAAGGGGATCCTCTTTCCGTTTTCGTGACTGAGATCTCATGGCTCTCTCTTGGCAAATTAAGTTCTTTAAGAATTAGAAGCAAGAAGCTTTTGGTTGTGCTTATAAGAATTGCAACTAAGAAGTAAACAAAGCATTTTACGATTTATATGCTTTATCAACTTTTTATGTTATTTACTTCATGTATGATATTGTGTTAAATTTTTACTTTCCTCTGTATACCCATTTTCAAATCAAAGTAAGTTTCGATCCATCACCCCACCCATACTTTCATACGATATCTCAAAAACCTGCTAATTTACCTCTCTATAGAACCTTTCCGTCAAAAGCAGGCTGTGTTGCCAGCTGCACAGAACTGCCCTCACCTAAGAGATTGGCCTAATCGCGAGAGTCCCCTTTTCTGCACCGCCAAGAGGTATTAGTACTCCCATCCAGCTTTATTCTATTACAATGCACCAGAAATCCGAAATAGCCAATGTTCGCCCTCTTCCTTATCATATCTGCAACCAACCTCTATTGTAAATGATCTAAGGCAAATTCAGTGAATATTTCGCTCTTTACTGTATTTCTTTAGTAGTTTGTTGTTATTCTTTGTTAGTAATTTTTAACGTATTTTGACGTAGAGAATCACTCTGAATTCCCCTTGCACCTTAATCAGGCCTCGATATTATCATTCCCTCTCGATCCATACCCCTAAAATGTATCCCTTCTGTGTCTTCTTAAGTCCCAGAAAGGATATTTAGGCAATCAGTCACTCAATACTTCCCTTGTACCAATATATGGCGCATAGTCAACCCTTTACTTTGGTCATGTTCTGCTGCTCCATTTAACTTCCAATTCTTGTTCTCCGATCCAGGTTCTTTGATTGTATAAGACATTTCCCGCTAGAGTAAGATACGGAAAGATTGTAAAAATTGTCCTCTTTCCCTCTTGATATATAGAAAATAGACCAGAACCTAGAAAAAGCTACACAAAATTTCTTCAGGACCGCAAACAGCCATTCGATTTACACTGGCTGATTTAAAGACGAAACATGTTGTTGTGGATTTTGTTGTCACGTTTTTAAGTCATGATCTCATCGATGCTATATTGCAGTTCTAGGAACCGAATACTTAGGCAGCATGTTCGTTATTTCGAAAGGAACGGCCAATTAGAGCTCTAAAGTCTTCATCATGTTTGAGCTGATGTAACTTTTTATGGCTAGTGTAACTTTACGAAGGTACTCACTCTGGTTGGGTATTTTGAAAGTTTGACATTTATTTAATAGTTCATCATAGATGATGTACAGTAGACTATGTTCGAAGTTTGAATTCTTTTGATATTGTGTATATATTATAGAACATTTAATTTATATGAGTAAAAGAGCGCAAATTCAAATAGAATCTATCTTTGCGTGAACTTATCTTTGGTACTATTTTGATTTTTTGGATTTTTTCGCTTGATATGGAAATCGAGTGAAATGGAAAAGACAGATACAGTTCAATCTCGTGAAGTCTACCCTGGATAACTCAGATTTTTCACTAAGTCAGACCAAGGACCGAGATACCGGCCGGGGGGGGGGGCGCCTTGGCCTAAGCCAAATATTTTTAATTTGTAAAATATGGCTGTTGTTACATGTTGTAACTCGGTCTTTGTGTCAGACCATTTCCTTGCCCCCTTGAAAGTCCAACTCTACGGAATTAAATTGTATGAACAAACGATGTGACCGGTTCATTGGAGTAATTATGTCCCTACTTTTGTCAGAATGCTATTGTAGATCCAGTGCTTTTGGACGACACAACATCCACCAGGAATGCATCTTCTGACGAGAAAGTGGTTTCAACTGACGGTAAACGATGTGAAGTTTTGATCGAAAATAAACAATGAAGGACTGTTTTGTTAGATAAAATCATAGTGGTAAAAAATGTTCCTTCTTTCTTTCTGGTGGACACATTTTGTAGGATTTGTCCAACTCCCCTTTATTGAGAATGCAGACATTTATATGAATTGTCCCTTTAAATTGCATATGTTGTTCAATCTAAATTTCATGGATGAGTTTGTCCTTCTCCATGCATCCATATTTCGTGCAATTATATCTTTTTTGTTTATGTCGATACTATAACATCATTTAAACTATTAGAATCAATAATCTTATAAACGAGGGGCTCAAAAACAGTCTTTGAACTGCACATTATCTACAATTATTTGTGTACTATTTTATATGTAAGCTTACTTAATCTAGCTGTAGCTTAAGTTTTTATGATTTTGTTTTGTAATTTTCTTATATTTTATATTCGCTATGGTTTTTTCTACCTAAGTTATCCTTCCTCATAGGTGTATGAGACACAGGGGCTGGGGGGAGGCGGCAAAAATTTTATCTAAACTTCGGTGACCCATAGCTACGCTGAAACCTAAGTTGCTTTGCAGAAAAGATTTTCATTGAAGTTCAATTTATCCGTAAACTTTCCTATCGTACGGAAACCTTTTAAAAACCTTTCATGAATAACCTTCAACAACTTTTAACGAAATCTGCAAAGGAAAACATTGGATACTGCGAGGGCGGTGTGTTGCAGTTGCTGTAACTGGAGCCAATCTTGGCACCACGAGGATGGAGAAAATGAACCATGATAGTGATGGCAGATTTGTAAACGTTTTACAGGTTGGTTAAATTGCAAATTTGTGAGAATTACCCTAAACTTCAACAGTATTCTGAGAGTGGAAAGATTCATTAATTCTGCACAATCTAGAACAAAATACCCGGAAATATTCCGCCTTACTTGTTGTGTTTATGATCGATTTCAGATCTGGATTTCATTTAGTTCATTTTATTTATGGCAATATCCTAACTAGATATTGGGAAGCCAACTGCTGAAAGAAAAAAGCTCTTATAATGGTGTGAACTTGAATACTTCAACACACAGCTCTTAAAACTCTGAAAAAGTGGTCATACTTCAAGGGTGAAATAGAAAGAATATCGGTCCTGTTCATGTTGCCCCCCAGGACAGGGTCACAGCTCATAACTGCTTGATTGTTGACTCCAATAAGAAACGATTAAAAAATTTATTTACAAAAATTAAATTACAGAATCTTCAAAATGAATCAAGCAAGTTGAGATGAATATGAGAAAGAGTAAATAAATAATGAAAGACACTGGATGAAAACAAACACTTGCCTCTTACACTTGTTTATCATATCCTGAACACCAGCCTCAAAGTACAATGACATAGATATTTTTTTCATGGGGCTCTTAGTTTTTGAACCAAAGGTAACCTTAGTCTGTTACCCGATCGGTTACTTGCCAAAGTATCACTTTCTACAAGAGGACTCTCCAGCAAGAGGACTCTCCTACAAGAGGACTCGCAAGGAAACAAAAAATGCTTTTTATGCAGCAATGTGTTTTAATTCCTCCACAATTCTCTGTTTTCAGGGACATTCGTAAAATTGTATGACCTTTATTCTAAGGTGTAATCAGGCCTGTTGCTAGCTATTTTACCAAAGGGGGTTTTCAGGTCCCATTTGCTGACAAAATGGGTGAGCCATCTTTTCTTTACTGAAAAATTTTGAAATTTGCTGACCAAGCTCTCTTTGATGGCAATTGTTTGGAAATTTGCGACCTCAATTTTGCAATTGAATTTATTTTTGAGGGGAGCATACAAGCTTGACCCTATCTAAGCAGGTCCTCCTTTAGTGTACCTGCGTCTCTGACACTTTAAACTCTGCTGGATGATTGTCAACACGTAATACTTGGCCCTGCATGAACTAGAGTTTTCTTGCTGTTGCTATTTACCGTATTTTGGCGGGAAATCACTTCCCTTTCCAAATCTTTGCCTAAATGGCCACCATGTCAAAGTTAGGGAAAGGAACTTTGAACTATTTTTTTGAAAAGCAGCGAGAAAGAACTGCTGTTTCCAGCAAGTTATCAAATAATCAAGATATAAATTGACTGAACGAATCTAGTAAGGATCAGGGAAATGGGAATATAATTGCAGTTTCTACATGCAATAGCGTCTTAGGCCTTGGCCTAGTGAACAAGAAAAATGAGAAAAATCAAACTTGAGTTGATGGTTACATGCAAGAAAAATCAAAGCATAACGATACTTTCTCCTTTTCGGAAATAGGAGAAAGAGCAAATCAACCAGGCACAGATTATGTTTTCCCAAAATGTAACATTGCAGGTCGCCAAAAGTCTTTTCAACACACCCCTCACGCCCCCTTTCATGCCGGTGTCATATGTGTTTGGTAACCTTATGCATTTCGGTCCGGTTACTCAAATGCATGGCAATTTTGGTTATGCAAAATCGTACCCAAGCACTAAAACAATAGGGTACCAAAACGAATGGTGGAATTTAGCATGCAAAACGGTCCAGGTACACAAACGCATGGCAATTTTGTTTATACAAAAACGTACCCAAGCACTAAAACAATAGGGTACCAAAACGAACTTGGAATTTCACATGACATGCAAAACGGTCCTGGTACAGAAACGCATAACAATTTTGCTTTTACAAAAACGTACCCAAGCTTTTAAAAAACAGGGAACTGAAACAAATGGTGGAATTTAGCATGCGACCTGGTCTGGGAACACAAATGTTCTGATTCATAATGTTCAGAATGTAAAGAACAATCGAACTATTTCTAACAAGGGGGTACTAACAAGAAGCGGTGCTGTGATTTCCCTTGTTAAGTTTATGCAAAAAAGTACAACATTAATGGCGACTCCAAAGTTTTCTTGATTAAAAAGTGTGAAATTTAAACAAAAAAAGCATTGTGTCCTATTTGTTAATTATATTGTGTCATAATATCGCACTACGATGAAATCACTTGATTTGAAACACATTGCGTTTCACAATGTTACACTTTTTCATAGGGTACCAAAATGCATATGACACCGGCTCTGCTGGCCCCCCCAAACAAAAAGTTGTATCTCGGCCCTTGTTATGTTGTTATTTTATTTGACATGTTTAGGTATGGTAATGCCAAACCTCAAACAAAGTGAGTCTGACGTAACAATTTTAACCAAACATGGTCACTTTTGCCTCTTTAGTTTTTTGTATTGCCAACTGTGTATTACTGATAGGTAAGACTCTTCCTAACGATATTCAATTTATTTTTCTTAAGTGTTATTACATGAAGTCTATATTTCTTAAGTCTCATTCCTTTAGGTAATCCAAGATGGAGAATTTATTGCAACTCCAATTGCTGGCCAGAGAGGCTCTGACAGTTATGACATCTTTCTTGCTGACTTCAATAATTACATGAATGAGATTACACAAAATGGAAAGCTCTTTTCCAGTCAAAATTTTAAAATTGGGGAGGTATGAAATTAATTGCCTGCTACTTATGAACATTATGTCTTTGATGTTTTCGCAACCATTTGTATTTGTTGTTACCTAGCTTTAGAAAGTAGCACACTGAAAAGGTATAATTATCAAGGACGATCCTAGTCCTTTTTCTTGATGTGACCACACATTCTGATTCCTGTGCTTGAAATTACAAAGAGCCTCCAAATCTCCTCACTCTATGTGAAAGTTTGGTCATGGCAGAGACACAATCCCTAGAATCTTGGATCTGTGTTCTGCATCTCTAACCACTGAGCCATCACAACTGTTTTTGTATTGCTTTCTGTATAACAAACCAATGTGAAAGCAGAAATATTTTTCATTATTTGGTTTTTTTCTATCTTAACATGATTACTTATAAGCTGTGCCTTGTAATTATTTTATGGCATGTTTTGCTATAGTTTATAATCAAGGACAGCTTATAATTATATTGAATTTGTAAGTCTAAATGTTTGGATAACGAAACAACGATAGTAAAGGAAATGAACTATTGAAAAACGTAATGTTGTGGCTTTTTTTGCATTTTTACTACAATCTTGTATTTTTGCATTTTAACTGGTAGCAATTTCTTGAAATAAAGACACTTTCTTAATTTTAATTTTGAAATTATTTTGACAGGTAGTTGGAGTTTATTGTAAAATACAAGCTTCAGATCATGACAAATTATGGTACAGAGGAAGGGTACTGATTAAATTTTCAAAAGTGAATGGCATCACTTCAAAGTGAGTTAATTGCTTAAAAGAAGTTAGAAGTTATTTTGAGAAACATTTGTTTAGTAATATGTTATTGTAGGCATTTAAAAAGCTTTGAGTTCTGGTCAGAGGTGGCAACAGCTGCTGCAGGGTATTGCCCTCAGAAATGGTGGGTATTGCCCTCAGAACATTCTGATGGTGAAGCCCATTTGTATTACAGAGATGCTTCTTAATTTGCATCATTAGAGTCCTATGCAAATTCAAGCTAAAAATTTCAAAGGTATCTGGAGAAAAAGATGATTATAATTGTTTTTCAGTATTGGATTTGTCATATATATGAGCTGATTTTAGCAGTTGAATGCAGTATTGTTATGATAATTAAATTAATATAATTTTGGTTTGAATCTATTTTTAGTTCTTTTTTGGACTTAGTTAATATGTTTCCTCTTTTGTTAGAGTTCTTCTTGTGGACCACAATGCAACAGTACTGGTGCCAGGAATACAGTATGTTTTCTGTATTTGTTATTATACCATTTTTGTTAGATTACTTTATCATTTTCATTTGCTTGCAAGTTTTACTGAAATTCATTTGTTTATGCTATTTGCTCTTTATATTCAAATATTTTGCTGCAGTTTAATTATTGTTATTTCTTGATTGTGGGTTAGGATCTTGGTATTCTCACTCTTTTGATATATCATAGCTTTCTTTTGGTGTGTCATAATATCTACATTTACCTATCAAATACTATTAAAAAAGTACCAACTGTAAGAGCCTATTTTTCTGGCTTGGTCAAAAATAATGATGACTAATTCATACCTAGCATGGCAAGGTTTGATGCAAAATATCAAGATTTCCCATATCAAATGATGAAGTGCAATTTCTATGGATTGAAACCATTGAGCTATAAATCAACTCCAGATAGTCTTGTCAGTCAACAGTAAGTTTTCAATGTCTCTTATATGTTTTTCAGAGTTTAGGGGCTTTCTCTTCCTGTTTTCACGCAAACACTTATCATGCAAATAAGTAATTAAGCTGTAAGATGTAATTCAAGCTAATGCAACATGAAAAATTAATAACAACTTTATTCATCTATTCGTCTGATTTTAATCATTAGCTTTCATTGATTCATTCGTTAGTTTGCTTATTCTTTTATTCAGTCATTAGTTTCGTTCATTCATTTGCTAAGTCAGTCATTAGTTTCATAATTCATTTGTTCATTGAATCATTCATTAATACACTCTTTAATTCACTTTGTAGTTTTTCAGCAGCCCAAAAAATTTAGAAGGGGAATGAGTGAAATAGGTTAACCTCGTTATCTTCCTATAGGCTTCCAAAATTCCTTCTCTAGTATATTTTGGGATGCATTTTCTAAAGTGCCTTAATTTTGTCAATGCTCCTTGCTATTGCCAACTGTTTTGGTACAAACCCTTTTAAACCCCAATTCTTTGATTTGGTACAAGCTTTGAATTTACTTCTTACATGTAAGTTATTTAACACAAAGGTATGTTTAAGTGACTTTACCAAAATTATGTTAAAATAAACATTCTTGTTTAGCCTGCGACTGTGTAATCAGTTTTCACAATGCAATCAGTTTTACTGCTAATATTAGTATGTTAACGTATCCTCTTCATTGTAACCCAAATATTGAAATTGTTTTTATTATATAAGGTTTTATTACATGCAGTTTGAAGCAACGGAAAGTGTTTACAGTTTAAGGTCAACATAAACTAAGCTTTTTTTTACCATGTGTTTGCATGAAATTCTATGCTTGTACCTGGTGAAATAGCACCAAGTGTTTGGACTCTTAATTCTAACCCTTTTCAACTTTTTTATGCAGGATTTCAAAACACTGGGACTCTTCAACTAAAACTCGTCTGCAAGAATTCACTCAGGGTTTGCATCTGTTTATGTTCCACTGCCCAAATTGAATTAGTGTTTTTGAAATAATGATATTATCTGATATTATAGTGAATATATCTTACTGCCATTTTGTGCTTGCAAGTTTCATTTTTAAGATTACAAGAGCATAGAAGATTCTGAATAATGATTACTGGTAAATCTCAATTTGTGTTTTTAATTTTTAAATTGTTAAAAAACTTTTACGTAGATTTGTTACCACAATAATAAAGTTGATCAAGATAAGCTTAAAGGTTAAATTTTTCTCAGACCTTTGCCAATAAAAAAGGCTTAAATTGATGGATGTCTGTTCCTGTACCATCATTCTTGAACGATAAACTTAAATTTGTCAAGCTTGTGAGTAAGGTGCCGGAAATTTAGTAATAACCAGGAGTACAGTTTTGTTGATATTGAATCTGTTTAAAATTTTATGTCTACGTGTACATGAAGCTATTTAACGTAATTGCAAGTTGATTGTTTATTTTAGGTTGCTTGTGTCGACTGCATGTTTGTGATATTGACAAAGAAGGAGTCTTCCACGTGACATTGTACAAATTAGAGTTTGATGCAGTTGGGCGACAACAAGAGGTAAGCACAACTATGTATCTAATCTTAAAGTTATAACATTTCTGATTTGATGTAAAATTTAACATGTTCTTGCTTCGGCATCTTGTTTTCTGCTTGCATTTGGCAAATTAAGATTTATAATTGATAAAATTACATATCTACTTTTAGTGTATATAACAGGACGGTTCTAAGTTGCTACTTCGAGTTTCACCCTTAATGTGATCATGATGTAACCGTCCTGTAGACTGGTAAACAGTATTTGCCATCAAATACCTAAATATGTTTTAGATAGCACTTTGTAATTGACTAGTGTTTGCTGGCACTTCAAGAACCCGTTTAATCTGCATGTGGAATGTATAAAATCAAGTAATGGTCCTAAATTTTTTTTAAGTATGAGTTTAATCATACCAAGTC